AGGAAATCTCCGACCTCCCACTTTTGTCATCCTGTCTCGGGGCGGACAAGTGCGAGAAGAACGAAGCCGGTGGGGCCTTGCGCTTTATAATTGCCTTGTTTTCGGTGGATGTCGGAGCAAAGAGTGCAATTACTGGCAGTAATCTCGCGTTTACTCGCCCGTTTTTTGCGCGCCCGCCACCTATGGAGTTGTAGAAGAACATTCTCTCCTGCATTTTCCCGGCCTCTCTCTCTCTTACCCATTCATACGCAATGATAAGGCCGAATTGCCATGTAATTCGGAGAGACCGTGGCAGAAGCCCAAGAAATATTGCTCTGTTTCGGAGACAGCAGAGAATCAGAGAGCTTAGAGACTGCTGGCGGCGCCTAGAGCGGCACGGCACACCGTCCGGCGAAGCGTTCGGGCCGCGCCGAGAACGCTACACATTACACCGGGCTGGGTAATTACCCTCCCCGACGTTGGGGGCCCCGCATCTACAGCCAGGTGTGCGGACGGTCCGGTCGTCTTCGGCATTGTTTCCGCGGAAACCATTGTAGGCAATCATCGTATCTTCGAGGGCCCCACGTTGAGGACCCCCGATTTTCGCTGGCTGCCGAAGATTCGGCGGGGGAGAGGAGAGTAGTTGGTAGAGTGGCAGGTAATTTATTGATTGGGGATTTAGTTCTGCCACGTTTTTTTTTGGGAGTCAATGGGAGATAATGAAATTTTTTATGACGTGTTATAGTATTTTTTATGTATTCCGTCTGCGGTAAGAGTGGTGAGTGCAATCTCGCTGCGCCGATCGTGTCGCTGAAGGGAAAAACCGTTTTTTTGCGAAACCAGAAAAGCTGAATGAACGGTGCAAAATTGGGGATGCAAACGGAGGAATCCTAGGCCTGTCTTTCATAAAGTGCGCGGACTTTTTGTCGAAAATTGTCGCAAAATAAGCACTGTGCATTTTTTCAACACCGATGCAGCGCATTCTGCATTTGCGACACTAGAAAAGCCTTAAAAGGCATCAAAAAGTATCCTCAAAAACTCCTTTCTTGCCCGTGCTGCCTTCCTCGAAAATCTTTGATGCTTTTTTCATCCAAATATCATTTTCTTATTATCTAAGGTTAAGCCACATTTTGGCACCTCTTAAAAGATAGATTATTATTACGATACTGTGAAACATAGATTATTATTATATACTTTGAATAATCCTTCTTACGCGATTAGCCATCTAAGCTTTGGTCTAGGGGAAACAAAGGGAAAATCTCTAAAAAGCTTGCCTATCAGTTGGTTTCTGATGTTTTTCTTGGAGCTAAGTGATTATTAGTCTGTCGGGAAAATAATGTGGATTCGTCGCGCCTTGGAATCGCCCATTATCTGCGACGGTTAGCTGGAGATTTAGTTTGCGACATGGCGAGAAATTTTACTGCGACAAATCCACATTATTTTCCAGACAGACTGAACGATTTATTAGTATTTTCTACTGCAAGGAGTGACTATGCATTTAAAAATTCTCTTTTTTCCGCGCAAAATTGGCGAAAATATGAGTAAAATCCGTCTTCTTCTATGACCGCTCTCCAAATTTTGCCTACTCTCTCGTCCGCAAAGATTGTTGAGTATCTTGCGGCTGGCTTTTAATTCAATAGAGTCTTTGCGGTATCTAGAGTCATAAATCTTACAGTAAGCCTCCCCCACTCTACAGTAACCATCCAATCGTTAGGATCCACGAAGACGGGGGAATTCAGATATTAGAGAACGGATAGATGGAGGTATAGGACAGGAATTGGTCAGAGGTTGGAGACGGTCAGAAGGAGGACAGAAGAAGGACGCGCGAGGGCGTTAGCTCGAGTATTATCAGTTGATACAGTTGGTCTTGGGTTTTATTGTTGACTTGTTTACTCTTGCTCGTATTTTCCCCAATTGTATCGTTTAGTTTGGATAAATCTATCACTCGTACGTGCTTGCCGAGTCGTTTCTAGGAGATCTCCGGATCCTTATCCCCACGAACTATCATTCAAATGGTTCTAATCTTGTTTATCAGTCTGTCGGGAAAATAGTGAGGAGAAACATGAATAATATATATAATAAATCTCAATTTACCACTTACACGTCCTATAAGTGGTAACTTGAAATTTCTCAAATTGACCCTAATACAATGTAAATTATGGGACGGCTGGTAAACAGTTTCATTGACTAACCACCAGACTCTACCTGGGTTCTTTGATCCGACCGCTTCGTTTCGTCATTAACGCAAATAACACCTGCCTTCTCCTGACGCCATAAGACTCCGTTCTCGACACCCTTAGAAGGTAAATGAGCCTGCGGTTCCTGGAATGTGGCGGCCATAATGTGTGGAATTTTTTGGTTGGGAAATGGGGTTTTGGGAAGGTATTGGGAAGATAAAAAAACTCTGTTTTTTGCTGCGCAAGATGTGAAAACTTGAAAAAAACTTGTCTCCAGCTTAGAGCAGAGAGTTTTCTCTGACTCTTTTGAGATTTTTGAGATGCAGTTTGCAGAAAACATTGAGATTTTTTGGTCAAAAGTTGGCAAAAAATCGATTTTTTTTTTTTTTGACAGTTTAGTCCACAAAAAAACTCTCTCTGTATTACATATTCCTGGTAGATGAATCGTACCAAAAATCAATTTTTTCAAAGCGAAATTCGCAAAGTTAAAGACGAAAAACAGTTTTTGTCTGGCAGTCTCTCTTAATTTTCAGTTGTCTCTCGACTGAAACTCAATTTTTTCGCGACTGTGTTTTTTTTTTATTATTCGTTTTATTTTTTTCTACTTATTTGTGTCAAAACACCGATTTTTCGCAAAAAATATAAAATTTTCATTTTTTTCAAATCGACCGGTCGATTTTTTTCCATCCGAAATCTTGAGATACCCTCGTAAAAAATTGTTTTATCCAAGAAGTTAAATTTACCCTTAATATCCACTCTTCTCCATCAAAAATTTCCTTCATTAGGCCTTCAATTGTCATCATTTTTCCCCCAACTTGGATTGACGTCAAACTTTCACCCAACAATTTTTACATTTTCATTTCCTCTTCCTGATTTTTCGCACATTTTTATTCGATTTTTGACGGCCTCAAATTTTTTTATGTACTCCAAGCGACGGGGATAACTCAATTTATTTTAGCGGAAGTCAAACTTTGGAGCTGAAAAAAACGGATTTTTAAACCCTGAAAAAGTTTTTTTCAGACCAGTGCCGAACGATTTTTTGCCCTGCTTTTTATTTCAAAGGATCCCATTTTGGCGCTCGATTTTTCGCTTTTTTACCAAGAATGATTTTTGCGACATGCACTGTGCGAAAACAAGAGTTCATTTTGCAATGTGCATTTTTCGGCTTTTTGCACCGTGCAATCGGTTTTTTTGGGCTGTCGCTCGCACCCCGAATTTTTTTCGCACTGTGCAAATTCCCGGCGAAAAAATGCACTGTGCATTGGCGACAAGCGTGGGAAAAACTGTGCATTTTTTCTTTTTCGCACAGTGCATTTTGAACTTTTTCCCACGTTTGTCGCCAATGCACAGTGCATTTTCTCTTTTCGCACAGTGCAAAAATCGAAAAATCCGTTCGCACTGTGCAAATTCCCAGCGAACAAACGCACTGTGCATTGGCGACAAGCGTGGGAAATTGTGCATTTTCGTTTCATGCACAGTGCAAACCTAAAAAAAGCCGTTCGCACTGTGCAAATTCCCGGCGAAAAAATGCACTGTGCATTGGCGACAAGCGTGGGAACATTTTTTTCTCTTTTCGCACAGTGCATTTTAAGTCTTTACCACGCTTGTCGCCAACGCACAGTGCATTTTCTCTTTTCACACAACCTCGGCGACATGCACAGTGCGAAACGTTTTTTGGCATGTCGCTCGCACCCCGAATTTTTTTGCACTGTGCATCGAATTTCATGCGGCTTTTTTGCCTTCGCACAGTGCATTTTGAACTCTTTGAATGCTTGTCGCCAACGCACGGTGCATTTTCTTTTTTTGCGCTGTGCAATTTTCGGCTTTTTGCACTGTGCAATAGGTTTTCTTGGGCTGTCGCTCGCACCCTGTCTTTTTTTGCACATTGCATTTTTATTTTTTGCCCAGTGAACCCTCGGCGACACGCAAAGTGCAAAAACAAAAGATCACTTTGCACTGTGCAATTTATCGCTGTTTGCACCGTGCAATCGGCTTTTTTTGTTGGGCTGTCGCCCGCACCCTGGCTTTTTTGCACAGTGCACAGCGCCGAAGTGCGCAGGATTTTTTGCTTTTGCACAGTGCATTTTGAACTTTCTCCCATGCTTGTCGCCAATGCACAGTGCATGTCGTGGAGATCGCGAAAACAAAAGTTCACTTCGCACTGTGCGATCGGCTTTTTTCGGATGTCGCTGGCACCCCGAACTTTTTGCACAGTGCGACCTCGGCGGCATGCACTGTGCGCAAAAAAAGTATTCGGCTTTCTGCACAGTGCAATAAGCTTTTTTGGGTTGTCGCGCAAACCCCGAGTTTTTTTGCACAGTGCAGCGCAAACAAAAAGCAAAAGTCAATTGCACTGTGCAAAAACTGGAAAATTGCACAGTGCAAGGTGATCTTTGGTTTTTTTCACGGTGCATGTCGCAGAAATCGCTCCACTTTGCGAACCCACTTTCGAAATTCAACCTTTTTATTTGCCATTTGCTTCCACGAGTCGGGTTTGTAGTTTATAAATTTTCTAATGCCGAATTTCACAAGCCCCCCGGCTACAAGATGATGGGCGTTTTGTATCATGGCCGCGCCATCCAATTATCGGCTCCGTTGACAAGACATTTGGGCCGTAAAGTTGGGGGTCACATGTTTTATCGCCCCACTTTTTCCTCCCACCAATTAAAGCCGTGTGTAGCAAATCTTGGGGAGTTAATTTTTTTCTTGCTATGTGGTTATATTGTGTCTTATTTTGCCGCAAAAATGAAGATCTTGAATTTTGATGACTTTTTGCGAAAAATCAGCCGTTTATCGCAAGTGCGACGCTCTGATTTTTTAAAATTTTTCACAAGGAAAGTACTTCTATGGGGAATGGAGCAGAGATTGCCACGACTCCGGAGCCGGCTCTTGGCTCCGGCTCTCAGCGGCTCCGGCTCCGAGCCGGGAGCCAGAGCCGGAGCCGGAAATTTTGGGTGCGGCTCCGGCTCCCTAGCCCAAAGCCGGAGCCAGGCTTCTCAGCGTTCAGAAAAGTAAAAATTTTATGATCTTTTTTAAACCGAATTGCTTGAAAAATACCGGGAAGGATGTGCTGCGTACGACTTGGCTGCAAAAACGTTGGCTGTGTGATCTCTGGCACTAAGAAATTTTACTTTTGAAAAAATGTTTAAAAAAATTTTGCACATTTGCCGGGGTTCGGAGCCGGAGACCGTTTTTAAATTTAGACAGGTTTCGTTCTATAGTATTTTCACATAGTACATGGGCATTAGTTGCGGCCTGCACCGTGCACAAAAAACCCCACTTTGCACCGTCGATTTTTCTTTTTTATTTTTCTTTTTTTTTGCACTGTGCATCGAAAATATCGCTTTTTTCGATCGGCGTAGCCGCGGTTTTGCTCAAAAATTTGCACAGTGCAAACGGCTTTTTAGATATTGAGGTGTGCACTGTGCATCGCAAAAAAAAAAGAGAAAATACACTGTTCGTTGGCGACAAGCGTGGGAAAAAGCTCGAAATGCCCTCTGTAAAAGAGAGAAAATGTCTATGCACTTTATGAAAGCACTACTATTAGCATTTTCACAAAGTGTCTGGACATTTTTAAATTTTTCCCGCTTATCGCGGTAATTTCCTGTTCTTGAACCAACGACATTTTTTGGAAAATCTATCGAGTTGGCGATAGATTTTCCGAGCTTTTGAGCGCTAGTAGTATCAGACTGTCGGGAAAATAATGAGCACAAAATGTGTCGCTGAAGTGAAAAGCAATTTGTTTTTGTCGCGACACGATTCATTTATTCATTTTCTCTTCGGCAATACGATTTTGCATGCTATATACAGGGTGGTTCAGCTAAGTTCGCGGATGTAAAATGCTTATAACTTTTTATAGGATTGTTCAATTTTTATGAGCAATAGCTCATTTTATTCTACGGTAGTTGCTATTTTGTTCAAAAAAAAGATCATTAAAGATGATTAATCCTACGTCGAGTTATGACCCTTCAAAGTCAAACATGCTTTTTCACGTAAATTTTTTAAAAAATTTAATTTTCAAAAATTTTATCATTATTTTCCCGACAGACCGGTAGACCGATTTTTAAAAACTAAAAAGTGTACGCTTTCTCCATACAGTTCACCATGCCGAGCTTCTTTCATTTTTCCTCCACCGTCGCTCACCTCCGCCGGCCGTTGCGCGTGGCCATAAAGTGGGGGGGATGGCGGGTGGGGCGAAAAGTAAACAATGAATATAACTATATACGCCGGCGGCGGCGCTGCGGCTGGTGTGTAATTTAATTGGACCCTGTGTGAAAGACGGGACGGCCTCGATGGCACGTTGTTTGGAGCGACGGCGGTCTTCTTCTTCTCCTTCTCCTCCGTCTTCTCCTTGTGCTGGCTTCTTCTCCCCTGACTCCTCATCCCCCCACACCCGGGCCACCCCCGTTCCCGCTCGTTTCGTCTTCCATTTCAATACAGCCCCGGGGCCCACCTTGCTTCTGCTACATCAACTATTCCTCGCGCGCGTGTCCGCGGCGAGCTCCGGCGGGATTGATTCTTCCGGCCGAGCTGCGGCGGGATTGCCGGGAGCTTGGGGTTTTTGAGGGCGGGAATTTTTGCGATATGGCGATCATTGCGCTTTTACTGACCCTAGGATTCATGATTCAGAGGCTCTGAGCGACAAATTGCAAAATTCTGCAAATTTGTTTGTTATAGAGATATTTTGGTTAATGGAGCTTCATTTTGGCCTTAAATTCATGGCTTTTAGTATTTTCATAAAGTGTATAGACGTATTTTTCGCAAGCAATTCCGCTGGCCCATGAATGTCGGAAAAGTGTTGGCGCTAACCCCCAAATTTGCATAAGTTCGCCAATTCACTATAAAAGACACGGATCTCATCATTTTAAATGACTTTTCCTTCTGTGTGTCCAATAAAGACTCCTTCTCTTGGTCTTCTCGTCTTCCTCGACCGGTCGATCCTCAACTTCAATTCTTCTCCTCACCTGCCAGTTTTAAAAGCAATTTGAGTTTATCGCGATACATTCATGTTACCGCTGGCGATGCGATGCGACATTGTGTTCATTATTTTCCCGACATACTGATAGCTCTGGAAATCATCAAAAAACTTTTTTTAATCGAATTTTCTCGAAGCCGAGCTGTCAAATCGCTCCCCAATTTTGCACATACCATCTAGATAGCTCGCAAATCAGCTCCTTAAAATTTCACCAACAACGATCCAGCAACTTCCGAACTATTCAACGCTCTTTGCAGACATATCGTAATATCGCACACCTCCAAAAAAACGTCATTTTTCGTCCAAAAAATCGCGTTTTCAACAGAACAAAAAGCGTTGTATAGAGGGTGCGTTATACGAAGATTTTTTCAATACACTTTTCCCGTCAACTTTACGCTCGCAATTTCTTTTATCGCCATTTTTATCTCCAAATTTCGTCTAAAAAATCGCCAAATGAAGAGAGAAGGCCAAAGAGAAAAAATCCGGTTTCTTTTTTCTCCCTTCCCCTTTACATTTTACACCTTCTACAACATCTTTTTCACACGTTTTTTACACGTTTCAATTTTTTCAAACATCCGTGTTCGCGCGATTTTCCGTCAACTTTATTTGCGTGCGGATTACAACTAATTTTTCTCGTTTTTTCAGCAATGCCATTTGCTTACATCTCGGCGTGCAGGGTTCGCGAATTCTCCAGAGTAAAGGTTGTCACGTAACCGAGCTGTCCAGGAAAGATGGATGCGATATTTTGGGCTTGCGACCTCGAGATTTCGAGATTTCTGAAGCAAAAAATTGGCAAAAAGAATTTTTTTTTGATTTTGGCTTAAAAAAATTTATTCTGTACAAGGGTACGAGCATAATGTTGTCTCAAAAAATGACTATTTTCCCAGGAAACTTTGCAAAGAGATACCTATCAGCAGAGATTGCCACGGCTCCGGAGCCGGAAATTTTGGGGTCGGCTCCGGCTCCCGAGCCCAAAGTCGGAGCCAGGCTTCCCAGCGGTCAGAAAAGTAAAAATTTCGTGATCTTGTTAAACCAAATTACTTGAAAAACACTGCGGAGTATGTGACTTGACTGCGAAAACGTTGACTGTGTGATCTCTGGCACTAATAACTTTTATTTTTGGAAAAATATTTTTAAAAAAACATTTTGCATAGGAGCCGGGATTCGGAGCCGGAGGCCTTTTTAAATTTTGCACGGAGCCAAGAGCCGGAGCTGCAAATTTGGCCTCGGCTCCGGCTCTGGGAGCTAAGAGCCGGAGCCGGAGCCGACATTTTGACCGTGGCAATCTCTGCCTATCAGTTTGTCGGGAAAATAATGATCACTCTTTCGCATCGAAAATCGCATCACCTCCAAGAGAATGAATTGTGTCGCGGCCAAATCAAATTGCTTTTCACTTCAACTACGTAATCGGCGCAGTGATATTGTGCTCAACATTTTCCCGACAAGAAAAATTTAAGTTTTTTTGACCGTCAAAGATCCCTCTATATCTCGGCTGTCGCTCCAAGCTGTGAGCTAGAATTTTCAGTGATTAATCTGTACTCTATACAGTCTATGTGTACCAAATTTTAAGAAAATCCAGGGCTCTGACTTTGAGTACCTACCATTTGAAAATTCCACTTTAGTCTTTGACTTTTCCAGCCAATTTTTGAAATTAAGATAATTTCGGTCCCGTCTTGCCCTACCCCACTCTCCAGCAATCCTCCTTTACCTTCTCTCTTCTCCTCTCTTCTCCCACAATTGCTCTTTGACTCCACTCCCTCATCTATTCATCTATTTATCGCCTCTCCCCCCACCAACCTCCCTCCCATCTTGGCCATAAAGCCGCGCCAGCCCCGTGTGCGAACCCCCGCCCAAATCATCCCCCAGGTTCTAATTAGCCAGTTGGACCGGCCGGCAACGAACCGCAGAGGTAATAACCACCAATCCTGGACGTATAAATCCCGTCCTTTCAGGAAGCGGTTATACGACTTTTTACTATTTTTATTGCGTTGGAGTCTGATGTCCGTGGGGCTTTTGTTGACTCAAATTGGACGCGGGGAACAAAAAATGATGGCCCGAAAAGGGTTTGAAGGGCAACGTGATATTTTGGAAGCCTCGCTGTAACGATTTTTTTTGTTGAAAAAATTTTATCGTAATATCGCACACCTCCAAAAAGACGTCATTTTTCGTCGAAAAAATCGCGTTTTCAACGGAACAAAAAGCATTGTATATAGCGTGCGTTATACGAAGATTTGTTCTATACACTTTTTCCATCAACTTTGCACCCGAAATTTCTGTTATCGCCATTTATATCGCCAGATTCCGTCGAAAAGTCGGCTAATCCGATAATTCCCGTAATTGCTATTTTATCGTTTGCACTTTGTAATTCGCCAGTAATCACAGTGTATTCAGCACAAGTTACACACCTCGAAGCATGTAATTCGGCGGCTAATTGGGGCTTCCCAAACTTGCACTATCGCGTTCTGAGGGCAGAGTTCATCGGATATGGGAAATACGATGATTTTAGGGCCTGCAGAAGTACGTACAGGGCTTGCATTTTGGGTTACGTGTAGCTGACGGGTTGAAAGAGTCAGTTTTTGCACGCATTTGCGAGGCTTGTAGACCGCGTTTTGTTAGATTTTTTTGAGATTTTTGAGATTTTTACATTGCAATGGCGAAAAAGTTTTATCGAGGAAAATTGAGTGCTAAAATTTTCTGGGATTATTATTAGTATTTTCATAAAGTGCATGGACATTTTTCCGCTTTTCACAGTGCATTTTGAACTTTTTCCCACGCTTGTCGCTAACGCACAGTGCATTGTTTTCTTTTTGCACAGTGCAAAGCTCAAAATATTTAGATTGCCATTTGCACTGTGCAAATGTTTGAGAAAAGCAGCGGAAATGCTGTTGAAAATAGCTTTATTTCCAATGCACTGTGCGAAAAAAGAAAAAAGTAAAATGCACAGTGCAAAATGGGGTGTTTTGTGCACAGAGCGGACCTCGACAAATGTCCATGCACTTTATGAAAATACTAATATCAGTCTGTCGGGAAAATAACGGCGGATTGTCGCAGCAAAATGTCTCGCCTCGCCGCTATCGCGCACCAAATCCCCAGCCGCGGCTTGCAGTCGCAGAGCGATGATGGGCGATTCCAAGGCGCGACGATCCGCCGTTATTGTTTTTGGACAGTGCATGTCGCTGAAGTCGCGAAAATCACTCCGGCGACCTTGCGACCGGACTAATAATACTACAGTGAGGGACCTGATCCAATGGCAAAAAACGTCTCCTTTTGCATCCCGGAAGGGACCAAAATGACTCCAAACCCTTCCCTTCTCTAACAATAAGCTAAAAAACCCCGCTTTGAAGAGCCCGCCTTGAAGCAACTTCACTTGGAGAGGTATGCTGCTGCATTTTTTGATACTTTCCGGATGCAAAATGAGACGTTTTTTGCCATTGGATCCGGTCCCTCACTGTATCCCATCTATTTATTAGTCTGTCGGGAAAATAACGGCGGGCCGTGGAAGCGCCCATCATCGCCTTGCGACGGCAGCCGAAGCTGTAAATCTGGTGCGCGGCTGAACCCTTTTTCGAAACATTTTGTTGCGACGACCCGCCATTATTTTCCCGGCAGACTGATGTATAGATTGCTCATGCAAAATTCGAAGCAAATCCAAAACTTACAATTGGGGTACCTTGAAAATTTCTTTTCTCTCAACTATTCATGGGAGCCCTCAACTTTTCCGTCATCAAAATTATTTTCCAAAAATTTCCGCAATCTTCTTTGACCTCCACCTCCGTAAACATGTTGCCAGCCCTCCCGTTTCACCTGCAGCCCTTCCCAAATTACTGTGCGTTACTTCCGAATTCCGACTAATGGAATAAATAGCGACGCGCGAAATGCCGCCTTACCTCGGAATTCCCAATCCCCATTATTTTCGGCGCTGCCCTTTGGGCCGGGCCACCTTCTCCGATGACATTTCCTGTTTTGGCGCCGCACGGGGCGCTATTTTTGGACGCCAATTGTTTTCTGATTGATAAACCGGCTCGAAAATCGCTTGCCTCTTTCGAAAAATTTTGCCCCGGAAAGAAGCGGATGACGTTCGGCCCCGACATTCGCCCTGAGGCGGTTTTGTGGCCAAAAATTTAATTTCTGCTCCGAGATGAATGGCGAGTGGGTTTCGGGTCTTGAGCTGAAAGGGAAACCAATTTAGGGAATGGCCTTGTTTGGGTCGTCTTGATGACGTTCCGGGTCGTATAAATACGAAGCGTGATGGGTGGAGGTAGGCAGCGAGGAGTTGTGGGGGTTGTTAGAGGCGTAGATGAGTTTTGTAGGCTCTTTCATTTTATATTTTTTCGCTTTGTTTTTTCCAATTTTTTGGTGATTTTGTAAAATTTTTGAGCTTGCCAGTTTGTCGGGAAAATAATGTGGATTTGTCGCAGAAAAAAATCTCGCTGCTATACGCGCCAAATCTCCAGTCAATCACATAGCAATGATGGACGATTCCAGGACGCGACGAATCCACATTATTTTCCCGACAGACCCTATACAAGGCCTAAAGTTACCTTTACTAACAGTCTTCAAGTGCAACCCATAGATTTTTTTCAAATTTTCTTTTGGCCAAGTTTTGAACCAACAGTTTATTTTTTGTTTTTCAGCTTGTCGGGAAAATAATGAGCACTCTGTCGCGTCGAAAATCGCATCGCCGCCGAGAAAATGAATTGTGTCGCGGCGGAATCAAACGCCTTTCTTTTTAACGCTCGGCACCGACATTTGCTCATTATTTTCCTGACAAACTGGTATCGCAAAAAATCCAAATTTCTCCCAAGACTTCAGCAGACAGTAATTCTGCATTTTTCGGCAAAAAATTTCAAATTTCGACCGAAAAAATCAAAATTTTTTGGTCTTGCATTCCACTATCACATCAGTCCTTCAAATGAAATCATTTTGCCTTTTTATTTGCTTCAAATTGCGAGCTTCTGACACACATCATGTCCGGAAGTCCAAACTACTTTTTTGAGGTTGGTAATTGTCAGGTTTGGGTGACAATTCTTGTTTAACAATTCCCCGTGGGGCAACGGAACGAGCACTAATTGCAACTTTTGGTGGTTATTATTGCTTCTTTTGAGTGCGGCCAATTTGAAGGCCAATTACATTACAACAATTTTGACTACCGATTACTTCGTATTCGAAAAAAATTGTCGGATTAACCAGCAGCTAATACGACGGTTAATAGGAGCTTGAAATTAGCAATCTACAGGTCTGGAAGGATTTTGCAGTAAAATTAGTTCGTGGAGTATTAGTCAGTGATAGTCGGTGTTCAGACTGTTGTCATTTGTCTTCAAGACGTTTAAAAAAACGGATTTAGCATTTTCATAAAGTGCACGGACATTTTCTCTCTTTCAGTGCATTTTGAACTTTTTCCCACTCTTGTTGCCAACGCACAGTGCATTTTCTCTTTTCGCACAGTGCAAACCACAAAAAAGATGTTTGCACTGTGCAAAGTTGGAAAATTTCTTATATAGCAGCGTGGTTTTCAGTAGAAATTTTGTACGTCTCACCCATGAAACCCACGTATTTTTAGAGCCCCGAAATCCCAAAAAATCCGCATTTTTTGGCCCATTAAAACTCGCGTCCTGACTTTCCGGGTCGACAACATTTTGGGCCAACATAAAATTGATCGATACAGGGGATAAAAGAATAAAATTTGGGACAAAAAAGGAGATCCGTAACTTTTATCTAGATGTTATTGATGTGAGTACATGTAAAAGACCTCAAAATAGGTGATAGGCTATCCTATGACCCGGTCAGTCTTATTATTTCCACTAACTAACAATAAGCCTTCTCATCGCCTCTCCCATGCATACAAGGTCGAACCGACGCACGTCAAACTGAGGAGTCCGGTGACCGAAATCGACTCTTCGCTATCGGTTTTTTACACTTCGTCTATTTCGCAGAGAAAGAGAGAAAAAATACGCGCAAAAACGTACTCTCTCGCCCCAAAAATTCCCCATTTCTTCCCCGACAAAACGTTTTTTCGCGTCTTTTTTTTGGCAAATTGCCAATCCATTCACCGGACTGTTTTAGCTTATCTCAGTTTGACGTGCGACGCCATTCATAGTATCGTTGACCCGAACTATCGTTGATCCGAAAAGTTGTAGCGAAATCTTTGCTGTTATTCCCTAACAATAACCTATCAGTCTGTCGGGAAAATAATGTAGATTTGTCACAGCAAAATGTCTGACCTATAAATCGGCACTTGCGCATTGTCAACGTATTTTACCTTTTTGCCACATGCACTCTTACCGTTGTGGATTTTACAACTGCCCCTTGAAATTTCAACGTTTGGTCTTGTCGGCGATTCCCCGAAACAGGGGCATTAAACGCGTGTGAACCTGCTCTTTGTCCCCATTAAACCCGCGGAAAAGGTTCAGAATTTCCAAGCGCGAGACGCCGAAATTGTCGGCTCTGACGTCAGCCGGGTGCACCTGAATCTGCGTGTTTGTTGGGCATTTTCGTGCGGGGAGGGGTTTTGTAAGCGGTTTGCGTGCCGGTAAACGGTTGTTTGCGGCATGTCTACGGAAAACAGTTTTGTTTTTGGACGCGTTTTTCTTATAGTGTTTTCGCCGCTCTCGTTGTAGTGTCATGCGCGTTATTGAGCGAGAACTTTGAATATTTTTCGATCCATTTAAAAGTATACGTCTTTCAGGTAGAACTCTAGGCATTCATCGACTTGCATTTCTGGCTGCTACGACTGCAAGTCCTTGGATTTCCTCCGCTTACCCTCAACGCCTCCGGTTCGACGCCTAGAACGCCGCCATCCAGCAAAGACGGGTCCCTACAGCCGACCCCGTCTGCTCGCCGACGCCACGCTGACCCGCAACACGGCCGCCGTCCCCTAACACAACGACGTTCACACGCGCCACAACCTACACCTGCCTTTTCGAAGCCCGCGCCAAACCCAACGCCGTCGCACCCGTCCGCCCGAAGCGCCGCCGAAGTGCCACCTACCGACTGCCATTCCACGACTCCACCAACCTAACGCCCCGCTCCGCCACTAGCAACAGCCCGCGAACGCCGAGCGACGCCCCCACCGCCTCGCCGCCCGACTCTCCGCCCGCGCACAGCAGCGAGAACAGCCAGCGCGAGCCGCTGATCCGACCGGCCGCTGATCTGAAGCGCCCCAACCGCAACCGCAAGCCCCCGCAGCCGGAGTGTGGAGGAGCAGGCGGTGAGCGTCGCTGCAAGGTCCGTCTCCTCGACTCCGCGCATGCCGCAGTAGTCGAGGCCGCCACCCAACGCCGCCACACCGACCGCAACAACCCGTACGACTCGCTCGACGCACCCACCGTTGTGTACGCCGCGTCTGTGGACCCGTCCGCCGCCGCCGCCGTCGTCGCAGCCGCGTCCCAATCTCCGTCCTACGCCGCGCACACGCCGTTTGCCGTCGCCGCCGCCGCCTCAACGCCCGCCAACACGGTGCAGGTGTGTCCCGTCGCCGACGGTGCCGAGCCCGCTCTGCTGCTGAAAGCGGTCGACTCGCGACCCACCGCCGCCCACAGCGCGCCCCCGCAGCAGCAGCAGCAGTGCGAGGCGGACGCTGTGCCCGCGAAACACAAGACCGCCGACCTGCCCGCCACCACCACCGCCGCCGCCGACGACATTCCGCCAGCCACGCACAGCGCGGAGGAGCACAGTCACGCGGAGCCCGACGACGCCAAGTCGCAACAAAAGTCGTCGACTCTGGGACACATGCTGCTGAAACTGTTGCCCTGCAACTGTTCTATGGGCAACAGTCAGGGGTGAGTGGGGATGCCGATTCGGGCCGTGCTGTCTTCTTGTACTTGACACTAATCTTTCGATTTTTCAGCCTTGCACTTCACAATGATGTAGCCGGCGGCAACGCTTCGAATATTGACCTCGATGACAAGTAAGTGAAATTGCATGATACTGGCGACAGCTGAAAGTTGACTTTACCCAGTAATCTGCTTTTAACCGCCTAGCAGTAATTCTGGCCCATTTTCAGAACGAATTTCGAGGAAGTGGCCGCATGGGGCGTCTCGTTTGACCGCTTAATGAAACATAAAGGTAAGACATTAACTTCTCTTACGTCAGCCCATAATTTTTAGTCGTAGAACGGGAACTTTAAAAAGTAATGGCCAACCAAGGAATTTCTTTTTGTGCAATGCTAGGGCCATGCGAAAATGATCTTTTGCTGTTAAAAAATTTGGTCAGTAGCATTGTTGACAGCGGTATTTTGGTTTATGAACAATATAACGCGAAAATACGCCTCTGGAGCTACTTGTACTAATTTTCTAGGACCAAGACGGATAAGGCGAACCTGGTTTATTTTGCTGACAAAATTTTAAATTTTTTTACCTAGGGTGTAAAAGGTACGGCGATGCGAGTTTTGATGCGACAGAGTGCTCATTATTTTCCCGACAGAGTGATATTCGGTCCAGCTGACCAAGTCTACGCATTTTTAACTTGAATGTCGTTTGAAATTACGCATTAAAACCCTGAAACTTTCAGCTGGCCAGAAATACTTTGCCGAGTTCCTGAAAGGCGAGTACTCGGACGAGAACATCCTCTTCTGGCAGGCCTGCGAGGAGCTGAAACGCGAGCGCAACACGGAGAAGATCGAGGAGAAGGCGCGCATCATCTACGAGGACTTCATCTCCATCCTCTCGCCGAAGGAGGTGAGCCTCGACTCGCGGGTGCGCGAGATCATCAACAACAACATGATCCGCCCCACGGCGCACACCTTCGACGAGGCGCAGAACCAGATCTACACCCTGATGCAGCGGGACTCGTACCCGCGCTTCATCGCGTCCCCGCTCTACAAACAGGTCCTCAGCCAGTACGGTCACATGGAGGAGCTGTAGCTCCCCCCTCCACCCACCACAGAGATCTCATCAGTTTTGTTTCGGATAATTTTTAAGGTTTTGAGATTTTTCAACTTTTAAGCAATGCGTATGCTCCCCAATCAGTCTTATGGATTGTATGCGGACGTGAAATGGTTTTGCGGGAAAGGTGCGGCAAATTTGGGGTCGAATTTTTCGAAATTTTGGGTTTGATACTTTTGGATACTTTTTGAGGTTTTTCGAAAATTTATTGTTACTGTATTAGTCAAAGTTGCTGAAGTGATTTTTGCGTTCAAAAAATCTATATTTTATGTTTTGCCAAAAAAAAATTTTGAGATTTTTTGATTTTTAAGCTGAAATATTCTCGGCAATTTTGCACATAGCACTTTCAAATTCTCTGAATTTTATCTCTCCCATATAAGAAGACGTTCCGCAAAATTTCAAAAAAATCCGACTCATTCACTTGTCGCATCTCCCCGCCGTTGTAAAGACGCAATTTATACATATAGAGTACAATATGCGTGCATAATTTGTCCATAAATTCGCTGGGAGAAGCATTTACTCGAATTTGGAGTGTTGGAGTTTTGAGATTTTTCGATTTCAACGCCCTTAAATTCGATTAAATGCGGTTTCCGGCCCGAACGTAATACTTTTACGACTTGATTATTCAATTTGTTCGACTTTTACTTCCGAAGGATACTATATATTTATACACTCTACAGAATATTTTATTATTGTATGCCACAATTTATCACGTTTCGTTAGATAAACATGATATGACAGTTTTGAAATTTTGGGGTTTTTTTTTTGACTAAAAAACACGTATAAGATACCATACATCAAGGTAAAGGTACACGTAAATTTTAATTTTCATAAGGCTTACGACGAATACAGAGTCGTTTTTTAATGATATCTGCGAGAATTCTAGCTCGCGCTTTGCAGAAACGACTGAGATTTTTAGGTCGAAAGTTGGGAAAAGGGCAGATTTTTTGACGAACTTTTGTATGAAAATTTTTCCACCCATATAGGGTAATATTCCTCTTTCAAAGAAACTTATACAACTGCAAACTTACAGGGGAAGTACTCCAAGTGCGACGCTCAGATTTTCTTTAAATTTTGCACACGCGTCGGGTATATACTAAATATGAATTCCTGAAAGCTTTAGCCTGCGCTTTGCGGGCGCCGCCGAGATATCGAACGATTTTTGCCGCCGAGAGGGCACGCTAAACGTGGAGAGCGGTCAGAGAGAAAAGCGCTTTTTGGCCATAACTTTGGCAGTTTCGTGCGGAAAAGTTCTTTTCGTGCCGAAATTCCGCAAAAAGTCCTAAATTTTGGCCGACTTTCAACCTAAAAATCTCGGTGTTTCGGCAAAGCGCGAGCTAGGATCCTCGCGTATATTTTAGAAGAAATTATTCTAAATTTGTGCAAAGTTTCATCAAAATCTGAGCGTCGCACTTGGGGTACTTCCACTGTTAGTTCACAACATATAACAGCCACATCCACCGTTTGAATTTCCTGTTGTAAATAAATGTTGGCTAGTTTCCATGCATGCCTGCAGAATCTCCGTGGTTCTTCTGGCCTACTGATATCTTTTGCAAATATCTGAAGACTTCCCGATAGTTTCAGCATTGTAATAAAGTGTTTAAGATTGGTGTGATGACAAGAAAAGCGATCAAAAGTCTCCACCGAATACACAACTTTCGGCGTTGGCGGAGAGAAAAAATTTTTATGCAAAAAACAGTCCATCCATCTCCTTCATAGCCCCTATATATAGAATTTTTTGGATACCTTGGCTGAGCGCCAAGGAATCGACAAAAGTTTTCCGGGAAATCTCTTTGGACACCCTGTACTTTCCATGTCAGGAATTTATGTACCCTATGCCCGAAACGTATACGATTTTTAAGAAAATCTGAGCGTCGCACTGGGCCCTTCCCGGGTAAATCAAATTTGAACTTTTCTACACTCCACCACAAGACATTCCGACTCCAGTTCAAGGGCTTTATTTACTATTAAACAATTGCATTAGGTATGACGCGGAAGCAGGTGCGGCTATTTATGGCGATTTGCGAATGCGGAAGTGAAAGCTTTCGCATAACAAAGTCAGTTAATTTGTCGCAAAGTCTCAGATCTTAAAAAAAATCTCGCCATGAATTTCAAGGGGAAGTACTCCACTTGCGACGCTCAGATTTTGATAAAACTTGGGTCAAATTTGAATTAATTTTTCATCAGATTTTTCGTCAAATGAAAAGGTTTTAGCCAAAAAATGGAGAATCGCCGGCATTTGGCACCGCATGCCGCGTATTTCCGCAAATTTTACGTCTAAAACGTGCTTCCGGGCCGCGCAAAAAACAAATAAACATTGTGTGGACGTCAAATGTCGGTTTCCATTTTTAGAACACTCCACGAACGAGGAATATTATTCATAAAAAGATAAATCTCTTTGAAGACGTTAAAAAACAGTTCATGACTTTATTTGATAAAAATGACGTCATGGAAAAATAAGATCTTTTGATGGTATACTGCTCGACAAAATTATAAATTCAGTCTTAAAATTGCTGTAACGTTTGTGGTTTTCTATAAAACTGTGCCATATTTGGCCCCAATATCTACCAGTGTACTATAAATCTTGTGCCAAAAAATTATATTGGAAAGTTTCCATAATTTGGAAAAAAGTTGAAAAAAACCGAGATTTTGGCGCTTTTCTTTGCGACAAAATTATTAATTCGCGCAATAGTTTGCGATTTTCTTGCCGTTGGTGCTGAAACAAAGTAAGTTATTCCGCTTAGTGGTATCCTTAGGGGTCCTTCTGGCATGCTACGACGAAAAATAGTGGCAGAATTAGAGAAGGGCGAAATTACGCCCCTGAAACCGCAAAGACCTCGGGTTTGGCAGATTTGGGCTCAGGTGGACCGTTCAGCCGGATTTTTGAAGAACTACTCGGTTCCTCCGGAAGTCTTCAACACATCTAAACGTTCTGGCAAAAAAGGTTTACCACCGCGGCAGAGTTAAGACAAATAAACCCGCCGAGCTTCCACCCCCACCATCCCTGGGTCTTGTATAGGGCAAGAAACAGGCATCAATTGTATAGCAGGAAAGACATGGTGAGGGCCTTAAGGCACACCGATGTCATCACTGGACGTCGTGTGAAGTCGTGCCCTCAGCTGGCCTAGGTTCGGTCATTGACGGCAAGATAGTGCGCAAAGACGGAGAGCAGTCTATATCCTTTTCATTGCCGAGTAATTCGTTTCCTCTACTGCCCTTTCTTATCAATAAATCCGATGGATCGATGACTCACAAAGGACCCCTTCACTTTCACCGCACAATTGACTTCCGTAATTGTGAAAACCCCGCAAAAAATCCGCTTTTTAAAATCCAAAACCCAATTTGAAAATTTCCGCAAACCCATCAGACCTACTGAGCTCTCAAAACGGAGCAAATTAACCTTTCGCTGCGGCAATGACGATGACGTAACGCGATTCGAAAGCGTAATTTCGGAGGATTTTCTGGAAGTGTTGATGGGATTTCGAACTGAAGAATCTCTGGAGGAAATCATATGAAGCGTCGGGAGCGACGGAATTGGTGGATGCGAGCTTTTGATTGCAATTTTCAGTTTGTGAGTTTTGGTTTCTTTTACTTTTAAGATTCTGGGTGCGACGCTCCGATTTTCTTTAATCTTTGTACGCACGTTCAGTATCGGTCACATATCTATACTGAACGGTTCTAGCTCGCGCTTTAATAAGATTGATCGGACCCTAGGATAGTTTATCACCTATTTTGAGGTATTTTACATGTACTCATATCAATAATATCTAGATAAAAGTTACGGATCTTCGTTTTTTGCCGCAAATTTTGGTCTTTCATATGTTACCATGACTCAGGATAAAGAAAGCTGACATTAGTAATAGCAAAAATTAGAACAAGTGGAGATATTGCAAGCCTTCGCCAAGTCTCCGCCGGCCATCCAGCCGCTTTGCCAGGCCTCACAGGCACTTCCTACAACCTTTCTTGACGCATTCACCTCATGCGTCAAAAGTCTACGCGCTTTATAAAGCGACCAAATTTATAGCTGCGGCTAGTCGTCGCAAAGCGATGCGACGACTAATTCTTAAGGCGCGACAAATCCACATTATTTTCCCGACAAATACCACACGTTTCCGTCCGTTTTTTGTCACCATTCTTTGGAGGTTTCCGGCGGACGGCTCACTTGCACTTCGCTGACATTCCTCGACTCCGTTGACTCTGATTACTTTCCCAAATCCCCTTTCTTTTTTTGATCTCCATCGAGTTCCGTTGATGGATCGGGATTTCCCTTCAATCCTTTGCTTCCCGACGCGCCTTTATTATTCAACTCTTGTTTTCTTTGATTGTTTCGAAAACAAAATTGAATTTTATAAGTCATGTCAAGACGCGTTGGGCAAAGGTTGCGGAAAATCTGAGCGTCGCACTTATAAGCCTTCTCCTTTGAGGGAAAATGTTAAAATAAATTTAGCATTTCAGCCGTCTGGAGCCCTAATGATCCCTTGAATACTCCTGGCAACTACGGTCTTTTCAATGTCAACTCTTGCCGCTGAAAACAGAACCTCACAGGACATTGATGTGTCGGTAAGACAATGTCGAAGTTGGCCATGTTTTGACCAATTTTTATGTTGCTGTATGACTTTCTAATTTCAGATAATCGGCTATCACTGGGATCACGTGGAAACCCCGTTCATTGGCGCGTTATGGCTTTTGCTGGCAAGCGTCGCGAAGATTTGTAAGTTTTGGCGGACAGTCAAACATTTAGGCCATATTTTGCTATGGAACGTCGAAAAGATAGAGAGAGAGGGCACACATGGCTGATGGGGCCGGGTACCCGTTCGAAAAATTTGCAAAGCCCCTCGAAGCTCCAAACAAAATTTTTTTTTAAATTTTACTTTTTTTCCTCGCTTGAAGTTGCCCCTAAATGTTTTAATGCTCCGTTAGTGAGCAATGAGTCTCAATCTACCTTCACTTACCACTTTTTCAAAGCCTTCTTCATTCCAACCCAAAAAAAAACCTTTTTTTCTCGGGCACGCAAAACCATTTGGTCCTCGGCTCGGTCCCAAAAAAGTTGGACTAGCCCTTTCAAAATTTACAAAGCTCGGCCTGGCACCCCGGCCTGGTTGCCAGATCAAATTGTCTTTTCGTCACAAACAGTGGCACAGAGACGCCTTGTTTGATCGATGTCTTGGCCAATTTGTCAGAAACTGTGTTTTTTTTGACAGAGCTGACCATTTTTCAGGCTATTCGATTTTTAGAGTTCTTTCGGCTAGCTAAAACCTTGAAAAAATTATTTTATCACACTGTCGGGAAAATAATGAGCACTCTGTCGAAAATAGTATCGTCCCCTAGAAAATGAATTGTGTCGCGACAAAATGAAATTGCTTTTCACTTCAGCGACACAATCGGTGGCATTCTGCCCATTATTTTCCCGACATACTGATGATACTGAATGTTTTCAGTATTCCACGTAAACAAGAGGTTCGGCGAAGCGGTTCCCGACTCGGCCCTGCTCATCACTGTCGGCCTAATGCTGGGGATCATGTTGAAGTTGTCGCATGTCGACGAAACCGTCTATTTCCTCAATTCCAACGTGTTCTTCCTCTACCTGCTGCCTCCGATCATCTTCGACGCGGGCTATTTTATGCCCAACCGGCTGTTGTTCGAGAACTTTGGCTCGGTGATGATGTTCGCGGTGGTGGGGACCATCTGGAACACTGTCGCCATTGGCGGGACATTGTCATTGCTCTCCCAATACACCAATCTTTTCAATGTGAACGTCTCGTCCGTGGAGTCGTTCCTCTTTTCCTCGTTGATCAGCGCCGTGGATCCGGTGGCTGTGATCACCGTTTTCGAGGAGATCCATGTCAACGCCTTCCTGTTCATCAACGTCTTTGGCGAGGCCCTCTTCAACGACGGAATCGCCGCCGTTCTCTTCCAAATCTTCAACAAAATGACGACGGTTGGCACCGCCAACCTCAATGCTCAACATTTTGCCGTGTTTGGCTCCTCATTTTTTGCTGTCGCTCTTGGCGGAGCATTGATTGGCGTTATTTTTGCATTTGTCATCGCGCTGGCCACGAAATGCACTCAACGCGTGAGGGTGGTGGGCCCGGTATTCGTGTTTGTCATACCGTATATCTCGTATTTGGTGGCCGAGATGACGGGATTCTCGGCGATTTTGGCGTAAGTTTTTTTTGGATTTTCATTTTTTTTTATTTTTTGGAACTTGGAAAAATTGAGATTAGAGCCTTATACGATGTATATATAAAATTTTTATATTTATAAAAGCTTGCGGTTTACAGAAACAACCAAGACTTTTAGACCGAAAATTAGTAAAAATGTAAAATTTTTTTTTGCCAATTTGGGCATGAGAAGTTTCATGCTTATTTCTACTATAGAGAGTAATATTTCCACAAAAAATCATTTTTTTCCGCGCGAAACTGGCGAAGATATGGCCAAAAAGGGGGGTTTTCTCTGGCCGCTCTCCGCGTTTTGTGTACTCTCTCGCAAAATTCGTTAAATATCTCGGCTGCCACTGCAAAGCGCGAGCTAAAATTTTCAGTAATTGATATGTGACCTTTCACCAAATTGTGCGTGAAATTTAAAGAAAATCTGAGCCGCACTGCGGGTACCTCCTTCACAAAGTTAAAATTTTTAAAATTTTACAAAGGCATGATTTTTCAGAATCTGCTGCTGCGGAATAGTGATGAAACAGTATGTCAAATGCAATATCACACACGACGCCGCATCCTCCGTGAAATACTTTGTGAAGCTGATGGCTCAGTCCAGCGAGACGGTAGTTTTCATGTTCCTCGGGCTCTCCGCGATCTCCTCGAAAAGCCGCTGGGACTGGGGTTTCATTGCGGTGACATTAATTGCCTGTTTAGTCTACAGGATCATTGGTGAGTAGCCTATCATGCATCTAGCTGGCAGGACAAAATAACGCTAAAAACTCATATTCTAGGCGTCATTTTGCAATGCTACATTCTGAACAAGTTTCGGACCAAAAAGTTCACGTTTGAAGACCAATTCATCATGTCGTATGGGGGACTTCGAGGAGCGATTGCGTTCGGATTGCTCAGTTCTATTCCCGAAACTGTGGATCAGGAAGTTCGTGCGGTTTTCACGACAACGACCATTGTTGTGATTTGTTTTACCGTGTTTCTGCAGGTGGGTAAAACTTTAAGGGCCTTTAAACACCGTGGTGAAATCTCTTAGAAGACCTCAAAAATATTTTTCTAGGGCAGCACCATCCGCCCCCTGCTTCATCTTCTCAAAATTGAGCGACAAAAGAAGGACGATGAGATGATGTTCAGGAAGATCTATCAACGCGTAAGTCAACGTTTCTCCTTGTTCTTAAACCTGCGGAAATTACAGTACATTGACTACATGATGGCCGGCTTGGAAGACATTGTGGCATCGCGTGGAGCGCACTCAGTCCGGGATTGGTTCGAACGCATCAACGCGATGTACTTGAAGCCCGTTTTGACCATCGAAAACAAGCAAGAGTTCGATGCGACGCCGTTTGTGAGGATGTTCGCCAAAGACGCCATGCTCAGAGCCGCCGAAATGGTCGACAGAAAAGAGTCTTTCAAGGCGAAGAAGATCAGTCAGCCAAGGTTTGCGATGGCCAAGATTCAGCCGGCGGAAGGGAGTGCGGTGCCGAAAATTCAAAGGGCGGATACTGTAACTTCGGAGGCCGAAAGTGTAAGATTTTTCGAGTCAGGACGTTTCGGGTTGATGACAGTTGGAGTAAACGTAAAATCGAGAGATATATAGGGAGAGTAGGACAGGCGTAGACCCAAAAAAAGGCTGTAGAAGGTGCCTAAAAGTCTGGCAAAGCTGTTGGATGGTCGGCGGACGCTCGGCGAGGGCTCGGCGGAGACTTGGCGAAGACTTCCAATATGTATACTTTTACTAATTTTAGCTACTATCGATAGAGTAAGAATATTGCACATAGAGAGTCATAATAGTAAATCCAAGACCTTCTGAAGGGTCCGGAAGAGTTTTGAGGGCCTCAGAAAAGTCTGGGCGGCTCCAAAAGAGTTTTCAAAGCTCCGCAAAACTTTTACCTGGTCGTCAAATCCTTTTGAGAGCTCCGCAAGTCGGTAAAGTAAGAATATTGCACATAGGATCGAAGCAAGGTCATAAATGTCTGATATGAGTAAATACCAAGGTTAGTTTTTTTTTATCATGAGTTATTGCAACGAATAAAAGACCAAAATTTGAGGCAAAAAAACGAAGATCTGTAACTTTTATCTAGAAATTATTGATGTAGTACATGTAAAATACCGCAAAATAGGCGATGCGCTACCCTAGGATCCTATCAATCTTATTATTTCTACTAACTAAGAATTCTCCTAGCCTCTCCCATGCAAAGAATGACGAACCGAGGCGTATCGTTGACCCGAACTGTCGCTGCCCCAAAAAGTCACAGCACCAGATTCTTTTTGTAAAATACGGTCTAATTTTTTCCAGGTAATCTCCCTGTCAACGGAGCAGATGAACCAGCTGCATCAAATGATGAGCGATTTACTCGACGAAAAGCTAAAGGCGTTCCCGCTGTTCGTGGCCAAAATGGACGACATCAAAGACGATTACTTGTCGATAATCAACGACAGTGTTGGGAAGAAGGATGAAGAACGCGAGGTGAAAGAAGCCCTCACTCCGAAGTTGAGCTCAGACGATGCGTTGGTGTGAGGATCAAAAAATCGTTGAACTGTTAGGATCTTTGTAAATAAGCGACATGTGAAATATCTCATTAGAACCTAGTGTTTATTATATTTGAAAATAAACGTAAATTATTGTATTAACTTTCAAAAAATCTCTTTGGGCAATGAATTTCCAGAAACCGAGGGATTTATTCGTTTTAGAAAGGGTTAATTTTTAGAGTCCTATTTTTTGAACCTGTTGAATGACGATATTTTTTAATTTTTTTTTTGAGTTAAGTTTCTTTGACCACAATTTTTTCACTTTTACCTTTCCAAAAACGGCGTTTTGTCCCATGTCTCAGCGAAATCCGAGCGTCGCACTTGGAGTAGTGCGACTTTCCCTGATGACTCCAGACGCTAACAAATTGCGCCGTGAGGCGGAAAAACATCACCTGCTGATTTTATCACCCAACCCCACGTCATTGACTAATATAATACCCTTTGCTGATAAAAATAAGCGTCGAAATTAACCTCTAACGTTTTTCTTGATAGCATTGCCAGCAAGGGATCTCTAAATCATGCTTTTCCTTGCTCTATTCCAATCCCACTACTGTCCAAAATTCCCAAATGCCTTTCCTTTATACCTCTTTTCCACCACGAACTTTTCCCCGCATACGGTACCGTTTCCCATCGCAATTCCTTTGCGACCCACGGAAGGGATGAATGAAACGGAGAGCGGCCGTTACAGTGGGTGCTGGTGCGTTTCATGGGGCTTGGGGTTTTGTGGGTCAGCGAGGAGGGGGGACGAAGAAGATGCCGTCGCGCGGCCCTTTGTTTGTGCGACGGGGAAGGGAGTAAGGTGGGGGCGAGGTAAGGTGGCAGCGCGGCGCATTCCATTAATCCGAAATGGAAGTTCATCTGTGATTTCCGAACCCTCTGATCCTTTTAGTCTATAGCGTTGTGGGTTTGCAGAAACAGGTGTAAGTAAAGTTGAAACAATCGATTTAATTTCTGCATCCGGATTCCCGACTTTTCGTGTCAACAACAGTTCGGGTCAACATGCAAGTCATGAAAGTTTTCACGCCAAAACTCGCAAAAAAGTGTTCCATTTTTGAAACTTTCGATTTAAAAATCCCAATGCTTTTTTCTGCAAGAAGTGGTTTAGGAGTCCCTCATATGTCGCAGAAAAAAACTTATCTAAATTTCTGCCCAGTTTCATCAGAATCTGAGGGAGGTACTTGAAGTACTCCCCTGTAAACGCAAATCTGAGGATCGCACTTGGAGTACCTCCCCTGTAAATGCAAATTTACGCTTTTATGGGCATTGTTTTCCACATACATCTTTATAGCCCTACTCCAACATGAATGCAGCGGACGTGATTGCCATCAGCTCAGTTGGAGCTCAAATTTTACAATCGCGCCGCACAATGTTGTGGGTAGGATTAGGGTCAAGAGGGTCGAGTCGCAAAATCAGAGCGACAAAGCAGAATCATTCCAAAGATTCAACATTCAGAAAGTTGTTAGGAGATCCGTAGAGACCCCTTTAGTTTAGCATGCCGATTTTTAGCAAGGTCTACGGATCTAGATGAGACTTGGGACAATGCAAAATTAGAATCTTCTGGGATATATTTAGGGCCAATATCAGTCTGTCGGGAAAATAATGAGCACCATATCGTATCGAAAGTCGCATCACCGCTGAGAAAATGAACTGTTTCGCGGTAAAAATCATATCGCTTTTTACTCCAGCGACACGATCAGCGTAGCGACACTATGCTCGTAATTTTCCCGACAGACTGATAGTTCTGGAAATCTTCAAAAAAAAAATTTTTTGACCCGAATTTTCTCAAAGCCGGGCTGTCAAATCTCTCTCCAATCTTGCGTATACCATCTAGATAGTTCGCAAATTAATTCCCAAAAATTTAGTACTTCTGGCCTGGAATGGCTTGATTGTAGGCTAATTTTATTACCTTGGGCCGTACAGAAAACCCCGCGACTTTTAGGCCAAAAAATCCCGAAATTACAGTTTTTCCAATCAAATATATTCCCTAGCCCAAATACCGACCCAACATATTGTGTTGATGAAATTATCATTCGTTCAGACCTTCGAGATCCCCTTCCTATTTCTTCTCCTTTTAATTACCACGTGAAACCGCTTGCAGCCCGCTTTTGATCTCTACCTTTCCCCCGCACAGTCCACTTCTCTCTAATTTCCACGAGGGACGCGTGTTCGGTTCGGCCGCGGCGACCGGTACAAGGTCAACAGTCACAAACCGTGGGAAGTCGAGAGAAGCGACAGAGTGTTAGGGGGCCGTTGAAAAGTGGAATTTTTAATTCATATCAGCCGTTTATGACTTCGCTTCGATCCGATGTTCAATATTCTTACTTTAACGAGTTGTGGAGCTTTCCAAAAGAGCTGTGGAGTCGGTCAGCCTTTTCTGAAGTCTTCAAAACTCTCCTGGACTCTCTAGAAGTTCTTGGATTTACTCTTATGACTCCCTATGCGCAATCGTCTTATTTTACCGAGTTGTGGAGCCCTCCAAAAGATCTGTGTGGCCGCCAAAAGATCCGCAGATTCTCCAAAAGATCTGTGGATCCTCCAAGTGGTCTGTGGAGCCGTCCTGACTCTTCTGAAACCTTCAAAACTTTCTTGGGCTCTCCAGAAGGTCTTGGATTTACTCTTATGACTCTCTATGTGCAATGGTCTTACATTACCGAGTTGTGGAGCTCTCCAAAAGATCTGCGGAGCTCTCCAAGAGATCTGTGAAGCCTTCATTCACAGATCTCTTAGCTCTTCTGAAAGCCCTCAAAACTCTTCCGGACTCTCCAGAAGGTCTTGGATTTACTCTTATGACTCATTTCCCTCCTCAACGTCGCCCCGCGTCCGCGATTTTTCGCATTTTCGAATAAATTACGGTGATTTGCTCGACACGGTGGGCCGAGTCGGCCCAAACATGGGCGCTGCCTTCGCCAAATTTCCATTTTTCGATAAGGCGCAGGTGACCCGATCGCTATACAAGGTACGGAGACCCGCCGCCGCTGCTCACCGCCCCCCCATCCCTTCCTTTCTCCATTCGATTTGTGACGGCCGGAGCGCAAGCCCTTCGTTTTTCGCGTCGGCCGCTCCTCCACCCCACCCCTCCCCATTCCCAAATCAAGGTATTTGCCTCGCATTCCGTCTCCCGCTTTGCCCATTTTTCGTCGCGATCGTCGGACCGAGCGGGCTGGGCCGCGGCCCATAAAAAAATGGGCTGCGATGGACGGAAATTTATGCTGGTGAATGGAAATGGCGCCCAAAATCGGGCTGATGAAGCGGCCGTTGTTCTGGGGAGGATTGATGGGGAGAGCGGCCGACAACCGAGTGATGGCGGGCGGGGAATAGTCGGGTTTTTTGGGGACGCTTGAATCCAGCGCTGATTTGGAGCAACCTTCTAACCTAACGGCCGTTTTTGGAGTTTTTTTTTGTCCAATTCAACGGCCGAATTTTTATTTTTAACTTGTTTTTTTGCGTATTTCTAGAGTCTTCGGCCGTTTTTCGCGATTTTGTTTTTTGAATTTGAGCTGTTTATTAGGGTCTCATTTTGTGGTTATCGTATGTTTATGACTGCTACACTCTACTCTAGTCTTTAAAAATCCCGAAGGATCAAAAATTTTACGTTTTATGATCTATGTTATCGCTATATCCAACTCTGTACTATCGCTGATTTTCGGCCGAAAAAATTTGTTCTTTGACTTGTTCTGCTATACAACAACTTCAAGTACAAGCAGTCATCTGCAGGCCCTGTTCCGATCAAGAAAGCCCGCTCTAAACTTGCGGGATTTTCTTGATTTATACTATACAAGTTTTTCCATAATTTTTGCTGTACACAAAGTTCAAGTCATCATTTCCGACGCCCTCGGCGACTGGAGCGCAAAGTCCACTCCGCAACACGACGGCATTCAACGTCGTGTCTCGCCGCGTTCTTGATCGGCGAGGGGCGGCGGCCGGTTCGTGGTCGGACCCCCTCAAATCCGACGCCCCATGTTTGGAAAGCCCCACCGCTGACGCACACCGATCGCGCGAGGCGAGAAAGGGAGGCCGATGGAATGCTGGTCGTCTCCGTCTCTCGGCGCTTCAAATCGCTCCCCTCTCTCTCTCTCTCTCTGCCCATTTTCGGGCGCAGAGTTCCATTTTTTTCGTCCGCGACGGCGACATAGCGGCCGCCCTGTGGAAATTACCGCGCGCGCCTCCTCTCTCCCAACCGTCCGCTCTCCACAACAACATCTTCGTCGCCCCCCATCCCATTCTTCGTCGCCCCAAACAAGGATTTTCTCTGAGCTTCTCCGAAGTGGAGGAGAAGGACGAATCCGCGCGGCTTTCGTTGTCGTCTCCGTCGTCGTGATGAGGAGGAAGACGACCCCGGAGGCGAGTGGCGGCCCGTTCTTGTTGGAGGAGTAATCGACAGTTCGATGCAGCGACTAATCGGGGGATCCACCGCTTTCTTCGCTTTTCCTCCATTCCGACGATGGAAAGTATAATATTTTTGATGATTTAGTAGTTAGTCTTGACTAGACTAGTCTATATCTGGTCCTAGAATCTTCAAAGATAAATTGAGAGTCTTTTAATCTATATCCGCATCTGATAGGCTATTGTTAGACAGCAGAAATAAAAAAAAAATTTAAAAATCGATGATTTTTACCTAGTACAATATAAATTTTGACTAAAAATCTTCGGCTTAGAATAGATTTCAAATTTTTTTGGTCGTAATAGATATCAAATTTTATGGAGCAACTTATCAACGTATTTTCCTGACATTTACGGACAAAATTAGGAAAATCGACGAATTTTTTCTACTATGACATAAATTTTGATGACATAGCATCGCAATTGGATAATTCAAGTTGATTGTTTGTCATAATTACTGGAAATTGACTTGAGGACCTTTTTCGGCCGCTAGGCAATTTTTTGGCCGGTATTTTAGTCAAATATCAGAGAAAAATCAAAAAACGTTCATTAATGTCTAGTGCAATATATTTTTTTCTCTTATTTTAAGCCGTACGGCCGTTGGGAAGGTCTAATATTTAATTCAAAATAATTTTAAGGTCTTCCACACTATTTCTAAAAAAATCGACTAGTCAATTGACAGATTTCCTTCATCTTTTTACAAAAACTTTTTTTTGACCCCAATTTTTGTATTTTCCCAATTTCTCTGTCCAAAAACGGCGTCGAGCGCCGATTTCGGCCCATATTTTTCTGCCCTGCCCCTCATCAAGCAGTTGCGCAACAATTTCTCTCCCCAAATCAGTTGTTCCCCCCACTTATTTCGTGTTGTTTACGAACACAGGGCTGCGGCTTTGCTGCAAGCTGTTTTCGGATGGTTTTCGACGAGGATTCTGTTGATCCTCGAGGCGAACAATCGTTTTTATTCGTCTTCCTTTATTTTCGACGCTGTTTACGGGGGTTTTATCGGATTTTTAACGGTTTTGCGGGATATTGTAGTAGATTATATCAGTTTAGGTATGAAAAGTTTTATTTTTCCTTGATGTTCGGGATTTTTTTGGTTTCTAGAGGGTTGAAATTAAATTTTCAGAGCTTTTTTTATATCTAAGATATTTTAGTTCCCATATTATACTTGATTTTTTATTTTTTTAGGTATCAAATTTTTTTCAAGTCGGCATTTTTTGAAATTTTTATGTTTCGAACTATGTAAAATTGTTTTTTAAATGTTTTTTAAAGTAATATCCGTTCCGATGCCATGATTTTCCGATATTATTTTAGGTTATATTATTTTAGATACCTAAAAATTTTCATTTTGCGGGTTTTCCTCAAACTCGTGGCCTTAAAATGCCCTCAAACTAAATTCCCATCCATTTCAGAGTATCCAGAATGTCAGAAGACCCCTACGCGTGCAGTCTGACCAAGTTTGGGAACCGCTCTTTGATCTGGAGTCCGCCCAACGATCCCGAACGCGTCTTCACGTTTATCCGCAAGCAGACCCGCTTCAACAAGACCGATCAGAAGAACTACCACTACTACGTTTGCCAGGATTGTCGGCTGATCCGCGACAAACAGGTCAAGGAGAAGACTCGCCTCGAACAATGGAGTGCACCTAGGATAACATTAACCGACGCGTCGGTGATGATCAGAAGTCCGATGGAGTCGTTGAACGCGCACAGATGTCAGAGAAAGACGAAAGAGTCGATAAGGCAGTGTGAAAGGTGAGATTTTCGCAATTTGGACCTTATTTTAGGTAATAAATTGATGGGTTTTTGATAGAAACGGGCGATATGGGTGGCTAAATTTGCGGATTGAATAAATGTGGTCTAAAAAGGCTCAAGACAGCTTAATTTGGGTCTAGATTTCAGTTTTGGAGGAAATTTTATATTGCACTAGACAAGGTTTGATATCAAAAAAATGTTTAAAAAGTTGGGTTTTTTTTCTTCCATAGATTATTTTCGACTTTTTAAACTTTTTTATGCCAAATTAAACGATTGTTTTGCATTTTTGGATATAAAATTATATTATACTAGACATTTTTGAAAATTTTGCTCACAAAATTTTTTATTTCTCTCTTAGCCCCCTGAAACCGATATAGCATTGCTAATTACCCAATTAGTCATCTTTCGGAATGTTTTCGACTCGAAGCGCAGCCGTTTTTCACCTTTATCTTTGGGTTTCTCCCCAAATTTCCGTTCATAATTCCCTTTGTTTTCAGACTCGAGATCTACGACGAACACGCGTCGATGGGAAAGGGTTCGGGCGGCTCCACACCCTCGAGTGTCACCTCTTCCACCCCACCACCGTTCAGCTCGCCCATGGCCAGCCTGAACAGCACCATCTCCAGTTTCATTTCGGCCCCCTCCACATCGCCGGTGCCGGAGAAAAAGGCGAAGAAAATCGCGGTGGACCATTGGAGCCAGAAGCTGATGAAGAAGCGGGAAGAAGAGTCCATTCGCTCCCAATATCCAACTTATGAGCAGCTGTTCGCGTTCACAATGAAGCTCATGGAGGAGCGGAATGAAAAGCAACAGAAGATCAAGCAAGAGCCGGCGGAAGAGCCCCAACAGAACGGCTCAATAGAACAGTTCTCGCAAATGCTGCCCTTGTTGAAGCTGATGATGGCCAACAATTGCATCAAAAACGCTTAGAGAAGATTTTTTCGACCTCTGAGGCATCCGATTATATTATACTTGTCTAAAAGTGAAAATTTGCGGAAAATTCTGGAAAGCGAGCTAAGGAGGGGCAAAATGAAGTATAAGGGATTAGTTAGGGTAGCGGGGAAGATCAGGGAGACATCTGGATATCAATATTCAAAAAAAATTTAGTCATCAAAAAAATTTTTTTTGTCTTATGACTCAATTTTACTAGTTTTTTTTGAAAAGTTGGTACTGATGAGTTTTTTTTGACTCTGTTGAACCTCGAGACTAAACTAGAGGCTTATTTGGACCGTTTTGCAAAAAAAAAAAGTTTGAAAATTTTTGCCTTGGTCCCCCCTTACCACCAAATTTTTTTTTTCAAAAATATCTTTTTTTACCAGTCTTTTTTTGAAAAAATGATATTGATGGTTTTCTTGGCTACGTTAAATCTCGAGACTAGACCCTACTTTGACCTTGTTTTACAAAAAAAATCTCAAAAATTTTTGCCTTGGTCCCCCCCCTTACCATCAAAAAATTTTTTTATCAAAATGCCCATATTTCCTCGCCTCTTCCAGAAACCGCCAAATCCCTCTTTCCCCACGAAAATAATCATTATAGAGTCACAATCGCTCATTCCGGAGCCAATTTACAGTCATAGTCTGCACTATATCTTCTATAATATCTTCCAAATTTCATTCCCATATCGTAAACCTCAATCTGAATCATATCATCAGATCCTACTGCCTTCCCTCTCCTAAAACGAATGCCTTTTTCTCTGTGATGCGGGTTTTTTGCCGACTGTTCTCGTTTTTTATCACTTAAATTTTCGATTCTTCACTTAAATTACAGTTGTTTTTGTACATAAAGTAAAGTAAATAATTTTTTGTTCGTTTGATGAGTCATGTTGGCGCTAAATCAAGGTTTATTAAAAGAGAAATTGAGTCAAAACAGAAAAAAATTTTGTCATTTTTGTTGATTCTTTGAATTTCCATATAAGGAAAGTGACTTCTCAGATAGGTATAAAATTAATCACAGATACTGTACATAGCCTACATATGAATCCCTCAAAATTTTAGCTTACAATTTGCGTCGACAACTGAGATATTCAATCGATCTTTTTCCAAGAGAGAGCACGCAAAGTGAAGAGAGTGGGTCAGACGAAATGAAAATTTTGGCTTGATTTCCGCAAACTGCGCTCGGAAAAAAATTGAAGACTTTGTGGAAATACTGTACATTTTCGAAGAAAATTTACTCACAAAAAATTTTTTATGATTAATATTATTATTACTTTTTTTTGATTTTTGCCACCTTTTGGCGTGTAAATCTTGAAGATTTTCACAAATCGAGTAAAAAATTCGGAGAAAAATATCTTCCTAAAAATTCACGGCCAAAATAAGTTTTTTCGGAAAAAGTTCCTTATTTTGGCCACAACAAAGGTACTACGCGAACTGCGCCCAAGGTTGGGCACTAAAGTTAGGAAAAAGCGCTTCGACCTAGCTGGCACTGAATTACTACATAGCTCTATAGTTTTAAGGGTACCCACGAAGGCTGTGACGACTGATTTAGTTCCATACGGAGACAATAAGTTTAGTTCCGGACATGTTTCATCGTATAAAGTGTAAAATCACAGGCTGCAGCCGTCTTTGAAGGGTAAGGTGGTACGTAAAAAAGAAGGTACCTCACTAACTAAATACACTGTCCGGGCATTAACAACGATGAAAAAAAAATGGGGCTAAGGTAGTACAGCCCCCCAGTCCAGTTTAGCCCCCCATGACCCAGTACAACCCCCTTCGTCCATTCTGAACCCCAAAATTAATTTCAAAGAATTAATCCAAGTTGTATGGTCCAGCACAAGCCCCCTACGTTTTAGATGAAGCCCCCAACGTTTTAGATGAAGCCCCCTTCGTTTTAGAAAAAGCCCCCTACGTTTTAGATCAAACCCCCAACGTAGTAGATCAAACCCCCACTTACATTTTTTGTATTATTCTAATTTGTTCATTATGTGGGGTGTGAAACGGGCAAAACAGTGGGGGTTTGAACTACCTTTCGTGGGGGGCTGAACTACCGAAGCCCCAAAAAAATAAATAAATTTGGGCTAATTCCGACCAGTTTCGGCAAAGTTATAAGTTGTGGCCAAAATAAGGAACTTTTACAGTTTTTTCTTTTCCGGCTGCTCTCCTCGTTCTGCATGATATCTCGTCTTCAAATGTCGTTGAATATGCCGGTGCCAAGTGCATGGTGAGATTGTTAGAGCTTGATTTTTACTAGTCCGTTCGCCAAGTCGGTGGGGTGATTTTTGCGACTTGAATTGTGCAGAAAGAAGTTGCCAAAATCACTCCAGCGACTTTACGAGCGGTCTAATAACACTTGTACGGTCCCTTTTTGCAGCAAATAAAATTTTTCTTATTACCGTTCTTGTCGTAAAACTCTCTTGATCTATTAATGCCCGCTCAAATACCTCCAAAAAATCACAAGACCGACACTTCCATGATTGACCTTCTGACCCGCGGATTGTAACAGCTTGATAAGTAATCGGAATAACAACGAAATTAAGGTTTTATTCGAAGTTTACGGCCAATCAAAGATCACTTCAATGTGTCTGTCAAGTTAATGACAAATAATAAACCGCCAATCGGGTTTTATTTTCTCTTGACAACAGTGGAAGTTGCAGTGAGTTTGAGAAACGTTTTTAGGGCAAAAATTTTAGCTGCTGATGACGGACGAATCTCTTAGGATTGGCTTGAAATCGGTAACATGTGTAATACCTACGTCGCAAATAAATGCCTGAACATTTTAGCTGAAATTAATTTCTTTCGCGCGAGGCTGGCAAAGATACGGCCTAAGAATGTTTTTCTCTCTGACGGCACTCCTCCTTTTGCGCACTTTCTCGGCCGCAAGGACCATTGAAATCAGTGCCTGCAAAGCGCGAGCTAAAACTTAACCTAGCAACTTTATTTTTTCGAAAAAACGTTGTTTGCTTAGCTTCAGTTTGCCCTAATATGTAATCTTTGTCATTGTTTCATGTGGATTGGAAAAACCGGATTCTAATTTCAGTGTGCCGATTATTTGACCTATCCATAAACAAAATTTTTATCTAAAAACCAATCCTTCAACGCCCTTTGTCTAGCTTTTGTTGGTCTAAAAAAATTGCCTTGGTCTCCCCTTGCCACATTATTTTTTTCCGAATAGCAAAAAAATTCATAAAAAAATTTTTTCCTTGGTCACCCCTTGCCATGGCCATATTTCCAAGGTGGACTGGTCGGCTCTTCAGTGGGACCTGATCCAGTGGCAAAAAACGTACCATTTTGCATCCAGGAAGTATCAAAAAATATGGCAAGATACCTCCCTCTCCACTTGATAAAACTCGGATTTCAAAAGCGCGCCCGCTCTTTTTGTGAAGACAAAGGCGCGACTTTCAAAACCAAGATTTTTTCACTAGGAGAGGGAAGCATTTTGCCACATTTTTGATACCTCCCGGATGCAAAATGGTACGTTTTTTGCCGCTGGATCAGGTCCTTCACTGTAGCAAGAAAGAAAATGTCCATGAATTTTATGAAAAACTAAAACATAGGCCAGATTTGTGGGAAAAATTGAAAGAAAATCCGAGCTCTGCACTTCGAGTACATGTCCTATCGCTCCCTCATATCTCATCTCTAAATGAGCCTTTTATTTATCTTTCCAAAAAAATCCTCCGGCTCTAATTCTCTTTATCGACACCGAAGCCAATTTCCCTTCGTTTGTTTTTTACCTGTTCCTCCGTATATAAAGATTTTTCCCTCTCTCCAGCCACTTTTTGACGGGATTTCATGAGATCCGAGGACCCATTAGACGTCTTCGTATGTTTTTTTTCGAAAGCAAAATGAGAAAAGATAAAGACAGCAGGAAGCCAGGGGTCGTCTCGAGGCTGGAAAAAGAGATGGGATAATATCGGAGAGTTTGTAATACGCTTTGTAATCTTTTTGGTCGACAAATTGACCAGGAATGGGCGGGGGTTTCGGCCTGGGATTCCCTGTGGTTTTAATCGTCATCCACTTTGCAAGGCAGTTTAATTTGCGATTTTAGGCGTTCGCTTTGAAAGGGCTTTTGGAAATCAGATTTTTATTTTTTATTACACAAGGTGGAGGACTTTTGACCTAGCTCCCAGCTCGATTAATGTTGTCGCCAGACATGGCAACCGGGCCGGGCCTTGGGCACCTCGGGACCCGATGAAAAGTAGGCCCGACCAGGTCCGTTTTCAAAAGTTCCGAAGCTTGGCCCACCTCGATGAGGTCTTGAGGCCGGGCCCGATAATTCTTTGAAATTCAAAAAAAAAAATCCCGCCATTTTGGCAACAGGTTGGCATTGTGTTTTTTCTGATGTTTGAGGTGTAAAATACTTTTGGAATGTGATCTGCCGATGAAAAGTCAAATTTTCAAAGAATATCAGCCTGTCGGGAAAATAATGAGCAAAATGTCGCTGTGCCAATCCCGTCGCTGAAATAATTTGATTTTCCCGCGACACAATTCATTTTCTCGGCGGCAATGCGATTTTCGATGCGACAGAACGCCCACTATTTTTCCAATAGCAAATTGAACCACAAATTTGTTTAGGTAACGCAATGTTCTTCCATGAATGCAGAAGCGAGACTGTTTTTCCCACGTTCTTTATTATTACGTCTAATGAGTTCCCAGTAAACATTGAAAAGAGAAATTGCTGATTGTGTAAGACCTCTGTACTCTCTCAAAAATCGTTGAATATCTCTGCGGTCCCTGCAAAGCGTGAGCTAAAATTTTCAGGAATTAATACGTGGCCTATGCATGAAAGATGCGACATGAAAATCTCTCATGTCGCATTTGGGTTACTTCCTTATACAGTGGCGGACCTGATCCAGTGGCAAAAAACGTACCATTTTGAATCTGCGAAGTATCAAAAAAAATAGCAAAATGACTCCCTCTCCATCCAAAAAAAAACTCACAGGGGAAGTACTCCAAGTGCGACGCTCAGATTTTTATGAAACTTGGCACAAATTTAGAATAATTTTTTCTAAGATATATGCGAGAATCCTAGCTCGCGCTTTGCAGAAACAGCCGAGATTTTTAGATCGAAAGTCGGCGAAAATTTAGGACTTTTTGTCGATTTTTGGCACAAAAAGTTTCATGCCTATTTCAACCGTAAAGGATAATGTTTCTACAAAAAATCAAAATTTTCCGCACGAAACTGCCAAAGTTATGGCCAAAAAGCGCTTTTCTCTCTGACCGCTCTCCACGTTTAGCATGCTCTCTCGGCGGCAAAAATCGTTCGATATCTCGGCGGCGCCCGCAAAGCGCGAGCTAAAACTTTCAGGAGTTGATATTTAGTCTATTCCCGACGTGTGTGCAAAATTTTAAGAAAATCTGAGCGTCGCACTTGGAGGTACTTACCCTGTCAGTTTTGAACGGCGCGCCTTCCCTCACAAAAATAACGAGCGCGCTTTTGACAAGGAAAGTACTTCTATGGGGTGTGGAATTACCGGTCGAGATATATATCAAAAAATTCGCAAAAATTTTCTGATTCAGAATATATATAAATTAGCTGCCTAATTTTGGTCTGATGATATGTTTTTGTCCTCAGAAGTTTTCTCGCGACACCATGCAAGCGTCTTTTTGACCGTGTTTTTCCCAATAAAAAAAATTTGTTTTATGCTAAACTAAATTCTGAGGCCATGACAAGCCTTAAAATATCAAATTGGATTACAACTACACCTTAAAAGTAGTTCCAATGTAAAAAATGGGTTCTAGTGTGGCAAAAAGAATCGAACCTGTTTCCTTCGGATTTCCAACCCAGCGCTCTAACCACTCGGCCACACCGCTCTCTTCCGAAGGAAGAGACCGAGCGCGCTTTTGTTGCCGCAGATTTTTTTTCCTCGTGAAAAACATTTATTGAAAAAACTCGCTGATAGACCAAAATTAGGCAGCTAATTTATATATATTCTGAATCAGAAAATTTTTGCGAATTTTTTGATATATATCTCGACCGGTAATTCCACACCCCATAGAAGTACTTTCCTTGTGAAATCAGTTTTTCACGTGGAGAGGGAGGTATTTTGCTACATTTTTTGATACTTCCCGGATGTAAAATGATTCGTCTTTTGCCGCTGGATCAGGTTTGCCACTGTAAGTGTAATCCTACAATTTCGAAATGACCTCCACTTCCCTAAATCATCATAGTAAAGTCCACTAGGCTGATGACCTCAATATAATGACATAAATGGCTGGTATTGCATCATACTCGTTTGTATTTGACCTTTTTCGCATTCAGTCTCAAAAGATTGTTTACAGTAGCGATGTACTTTGATTGTCTCTTTCTGCAGATTATTTATTAGTTATGACTGTTTCGCGAAGGGGCGTGAGTAATGTTGACCATCAGAAACGTTGCCGAAAAGACGAGAAAAGGGGGAATTGATGTTGTAATTGGAAAATCTTTGTCAATTTTTATGTGAAATGGACTCTGCAGTTTGGTTTGTGAGATGAGAGTGTTGGAATTCAGGGGGAGAAAAAATTTTACAATATGTAATATCCTTGGCTCATAACTTTTTTGTTTTGGCCTGGATCTGCTTTCTTGTATAATAAATAGAAGGTGGCCCAATGTCAGTCTGTCGGGAAAATAACGGGCATTCTGTAGCATCGAAAAAACATTGGGGACCCTTATTTTCAAAACCTCTCCTTAACTAACAATTTCAAAAGCCCCAAGCGTCAATATCAGGCTGGTCTGGACCTTCGTACAACGACAAAATTTGATGAGTCTGTCGGGAAAATAATGGGCACTCTGTAGCCTCGAAAATCGCATCGCCACCGAGAAAATGAATTGTGTCGCGGCAAAATAAAATTGCTTTTCACTTCAGCGACATGTCGCGACACGATTGGCCCCACATCATTGTGCTCAGTATTTTCCCGACAGACTGCTATACAAGGTTTTTTTTGGCTTATGAAAGGCCCTGTATGGCTAGCATCTTTGATCGAACTTTTAGAGGTTTGATGTAAGAGCTTTTGCTTTGCAATAATGGCCAAGATATTCGGCTTCCTACAAAGCCCATGTCTGATTGTGAGAAAAATATTGTTTTACGACAAAACGTCGAGCTAAAGTCACGATGATTTTCGGAAATTGCAAACTAGAAATCAATCTCGCATCTGCTTTCGATTTCTGTTAATATATGTATAGTATCATAATTTTGTGCTAGTTTCTTGGGCATAAACAAGCTACAAGGTGCATTTATAGCACTCTTTCTACAGTGGTGTACCTGATCCAGTGGCAAAAACGAATCATTTTACATCCGGGAAGTATCAAAAATGTGGCAAAATGCTTCTCTCTCCGAGTGAAAAAAAACTCCAATTTCAAGTTCTTTTTACACAAAATGCTACGCTTTTAAGGGCCCTCACAAAAAGAGCGGGCACGCTTTTTAAATCATAGTTTTTTTCACTTGGAGAGTGAATCATTTTGCCACATTTGATACTTCCCGGATGCAAACTGGCACATTTTTTGCCACTGGATCAGGTCCCCCACTGTACAAAAAAAATCATTTTTTTTTAAAAAACACGCCTTTACCGCTGTGGAAAACCCTTGTCTTACCTTTACTTTGATCTACAGTAACTCTTTATTGCCCTTTCATTTCTCCCTATGACCTTTTTTCAATCATTTTCCACCTTATTTTCACGCCCTTTTCACCCGTATTTTCTCTGAGTTTCTGCGAGAAATGTCATGGAGATTGCGGCAGATAAAAATCGTTGACAAGAATCAGCGCGCGTTTGTCTCACCTTTTTCGAATGTTTCCGAATCTCGTCGTTGATCACCTCCGGTTTTCATTGCGTGCTCTTGTGGGGTTTGCAGCGGGTTTAACTTAAGGTGCTTTTCGAATGACGCCTAGAAGAATTTCAATTGTTTTTCGGGATTTCAGAGACTTCTTTGATGGCACAGTGAGATAGAGGGCTGCAGTGAGAATTTTGAAGGAGTAGACAGCTGGATGGGCCCGAGAATGGAATCCAATGCCCTTTTACAGCCGAATCGGTAAGTTAGAAGTGATATATAGATAAACGGTGTACTTTTTTTGTCACTTTAGCTGAAGAAATCATCAGTTTGTCGGGAAAATATCATGCACTCTGTCGCATGGAAAATTGCACCGCACAACGATCAGAAAAATTTTTTACTTTAAATGGGGAATCTGATCAGGGAGTTTTGTTAAGACTTAATCAAGGATCAAAAATGCCAAATCTTATCAAAATCAATCTACGGCAAAAAAAGTAGTAGCGATATTACAATTGAAGGTCAAGACCTACAAATAAACTGTTGTACGTCCTTACAACTTTGCTGATCACTTATTTGTACCGATTTGGTCATAAAATAGCTTTTTCTACGATTACACATGTCTGAAATTTCAATTTGGCGTTTCGGACTGATATTAACCATGTTATACATGACAAAATTAAAGTCAATTTTTTTTACGGATTTGACCCAATTATTCTATAAAATAGGTAAACAAGAGCCACAGTTGACGAAACTCTCCCTCTTCCCTTCTCTAAAGACCCCAAACCTCATTCTTGACAAGTCCAGATCTGCGCACCTTCTCCTCCAAGAATTCCGCGATCGAGGTTAGTAAAATCTCTCTATTTGCTCCCGTTTCATAACTAATATAGTTATAAAACTGCTCACATGTTCCATTACCTTGGAATCCTGCTGAGGCACTTCCTCGGCAGGATATTGATCTTGATCATGGATAACATAATTTTTCCATCTAAAAGTACTTTACTACTTTTTGGGTTGTCAAGACGAGCTTATTCTGACATTACCTTCGAGGTTTGATGGGCCTGGGCATTTTAACCACAAAAAAAATAAAAAATAATGAATTGATGGTGCCTATTTTGAAGTATTTTTGCTACTGCTGCAAAACTTGTAGACCGATTTTGCTGAAACTTAGCCCGCACTCAGAGAAAGACATGCTGAACAATCCTCCCTGATCAGATTTGTCAAAAAAAGTACTTTACACTCTAGAGGAGACAAAACTTTTGCAAAAACGGGCATATTTTCGGCCAGTTTTACCATAAAACCATAAGTTTGTTATCTAAAAAAATCTAACTATAATAAACTGAAACGGATTACCTTTCATATGATATAACAAACTTAATAAAATTATGGCCCTTTGATGGCGTATGAGCCTGATTTATCCGACGTGTCTTAAAAAAATTGAGAAAATTAATGCCAAAATTCTTGGCATTCTGTTTCTGTTCGTTGTGCACCGGCGTTGAGAAAATTAATTGTGTCGCGGAAAAATCAAATTGCTTTTCACTTCAGCGACACGATTGGCGCAGCGACATTGTGCTCATTATTTTCCCGACAAACTGATATTCAATGAGATGAGAAAACGTTAAAAGCGGGGGGCTGCCCGAAAATTCCCGGTCCGTCAGGAGAATAATGTGGATTTGTCGGAGCAAAAATGAAATCTTGAGCTAGCCAAGCGATGTTGGACGATTCCAAGGCACGGCGAATCCACATTATTTTCTCCACAGACTGATAGGCAGGCCACAATGTCCGGAGAGAGAAATTCATGCAAGGAAAGTACAGTGCGGAACCTGATCCAGTGGCAAAAAACGTACTGCATCCGGGAAGTATCAAAAACGTGGCAAAAATGCTTCCATCCCCAAGTGAAAAAATTCGGATTTCAAAGGTGCGCCCGCTATTTTTGTGAGGGAAAGGGCGCGACCTTCAAAACGAAGTTTTTTCACTTGGAGAGGGAAGCATTTTGCCACATTTTTTATGCTTCCCGGAAGCAAAATGGTACGTTTTTTACCACTGGATCAGGTCCCTCACCGTAAAAGAAATCGAAGTTTCGAGTCAAAATTGACACAGATACGGCCAAAGACCGATTTTCTCTCTGACCGCTCTCCGCATATGGCGTACTCTCTCGTCGGCGAAGAACGTCAAATAAGACAGCTTCGGCGAATAACGAGCCATTATAAAATTTAACTGTCCCACTTTCAGGCTCTCCAGTTCCGATGGAACCGGCAGTCAGGACATTGAAAATGGGTTTGAAATTATGGAAAGCACCAATCTGTCGTTTCGGCCGCCTATGAATCAAGTAAATTTCCAGCACAAAAACCAACTCTTCGATCCTTATTTTCAGGCCCAATTCGACGACGTTTATCGCTACAACAAGCCAGAACACAAGCACAGCGAGTTTGTTCGGCGATCCGCCAAGGTCTTACGGCAATATCGGCGGCCATTCGAGAGTCGCAAGCGCTTCTGCTCCACAATCTTGGGATTTGTCCCATTTTTCGACTGGTTCCCAAAATACAACTGGCGACAAAACGTTGGGCATGACTTCATCGCGGGCTGCACATTGGCTGTAATTCATATTCCGGCCGGTAAAAAGCTTAGTTTTATAATTTTAACGATTTTTTCTTAATTCAGGGATTGCCTATGGCATTTTGGCTGGTCTTCCAGCGATTTCTGGCCTATATTTGTCCGTTTTCGCCCCGCTTTTATACATGATTTTCGGAACATCACGTCAGAACTCGTTGGGAACGTTCGCCATAGTAGCGCTGATGACCCGCAATGCCCTGGAGGCATTCCCGGATCAAGATAAAATGGAGTTAGCGTCGACGTTATCTTTAACCGTCGGAATTGTGCATGTAAGAGGTTTTATTCGATTTTTTATGTGATGCAAGAGATTGGGGGAGAGATAATGTTTTAGTGTTTTGGAGAAGCAAGTTATTAGTCTGTCGGGAAAATAACGGCGGATCGTCGCGCCTTGGAATAAATAATTCGTTTTTTCATCGCTCTGCGACTGAAAGCCGCGGCTGGGGTTTTGGTGCGCGATAGCGGCGAGGCGAGACATTTTGCTGCGACGATCCGCCGTTGTTTTCCGACAGACTGATAGTGAGCGCTCTGTCGCAATCGAACATCGCATCAGTGCCGAGAAAATTAGTTGTGTCGCGGGAAAATCAAATTTTCACTTCAGCGACACGATCGTCGCAGCGAAATTGCGCTCATTATTTTCCCGACAAACCGATATGCTCTTTGCAACTGAAAGGGCAAATTCTTAATGTGCGCAACTCAGATTTCCGTTAAATTTTACTATTTTCATATCAGTCTGTCGGGAAAATAACGGCGGATCGTCGCGCCTCGGAATCGCCCATCATCGCTTTGCGACGGCTGCCGAAGCTGGAGATTTATCGCGCGATAGCGGTGAGGCGAGACATTTTGCTGCGACAATCCGCCGTTATTTTCCCGACAGACTGATAGTGTGTCACAAATCAATTCTTTAAAGTTTTAGCTCGCGTTCTGCAGATGTTTTCGAGAGAGTACGCAAAACGAGCAGGGTGTGCTAAATAGACGAGAAAAATGTTTTCCAGAACTTTCTTATTTCAGCGGGGAAATTTTTTTGTTGAAAACTTATACTCCGCAATAGGAATATTGCCTGAAAATTGCAATCCTGAAATTGCATGAATTTGAAAATTCGATGGAACATCTTGATCAAAAAACTGAAATTATGTCCCAAATTTGAGCCAAGTTTTATTCAATTCTTTTCGCCCCACGTCAAAGATCAGTCTGTCGGGAAAATAATGAGCACTCTGTCGCACAAAAAGTCGCATCGAGAAAACGAATTGTGTCGCAGCAAAGAAGACTTGCTTTTTAATTCAGCGACATGATCGGCGCAGCGACATGCTCATTATTTTCCCGACAGATTGATAACTTAAAGTTGCTTTAGCTTTCAACTTGCTTTGTTTCAGTTATCCATGGGAATATTTCGCTTGGAAATCCTGACCACTTACTTCTCCGACGCCGTGATTGGCGGTTTCTCGACGGGGGCGGCTTGTCACGTGTTTGTGACTCAAATCCGCAATTACCTCGGCCTTCCAAAACAGCCCTCCCACCACGGTTTCGGAATGGCGTTCCTAAAACTTCGGGACTTGGCGTTGAACTTGAATCAAACCAACTTGATCACGCTGACATTCGCTACGAGCTGTTTGATTATTTTGGTTTTTGGGAAGTTTTGGATCAACCCCTACCTCAAACGAACGTATAAATTGAATGTTCCGGTTCCTTTTGAGCTCATTATGGTAGGCAGGGTTTGTAGAGTAGCTAGCAATAAATTCAGATGTAATTTTGATAAAGTTTAAGCGTTTTAGCTGATCACGGGTGCAACAATATCGAATTTAATGGACTTCCGAGGCAACTACGGAATGCTCGTTGTTGGAACACTACCCTCACAGTAAGTTTTGTAACGCTCTATACAGTAGGGCCTCTATTTTTGAATAGAGGCATCAGACTGTCGGGAAAATAATGAGCATTCTGTTGCTGCGCCAATCGCATTGCTGAAGTGAAACGCAATTTGGTTTTCAATTGGCGCAATTCTTTTTCTTAGCGATAATTCGATTCTCTATGCGACAGAGAGCTCATTATTTTCCCGACAGACTGAAAATGGTCTATACGAGTTTTTGAAACAGTAACAGCCAAATACAAGGCGTTTCTTCCGGTTGTTCGTGAATTTTAATCCACAGGAGAGGTGTCGAAGTGCGACTCTCAGATTTTGATAAAACATGGTGCAAATTTACAATATAAGGCGCGTGCGTTCTACTTCTCTGCGGACTTCCTCGCAGAAAACCCGCATTTCTTGTCTGTGGGCCCGCTAGACAAGAAATGTGCAATTCTTGGCTGAGCAGAGAAAAAAAGAAAAAAATCTTCACGGGGAGAGAGCAGAAAATTGCGCAATATTGCGCAATGTTACGCAATTTTAGACAAGAATTGCGCGTTTCTTGTCTAGCGGGCCCACAGACAAGAAATGCGGGTTTTCTGCGAGGAAGTCCGAAGAGAAGTAGAACGCACGCGCCTTATATGATTATTTTTATGACATATTTAAGTCGAAAGTTGGAAAAAATGAGAAAACTTTTGTTTGTGAATTTTGGCATGAAAAGTTTCATACCTATTTCTACCATAGAGGGTGACGTTTTCACAGAAAATTAATTTTTTCCGCGCGAAACTGAAAAAGATATAGCCAAAAGATGTTTTTCTCTCTGACCGCCCTCCGCGTTCCCCGTACTCTCTCGGCCGCAAAGATGTTTGAATATTTCGGCGGCGAATGAAAAGCGCGAGCCAAAACTTTTAGGAACAGATATGTGATCTATGCCCAACGTGTGTTAAAAGTTTGAAGAAAATCTGAGCGTCGCACTTGGAATTGTAAAAACCTTGAAAACTTGTCTAGGAAAAAAATTCATCTGATTCTGTAGCTGGCAATTGGTCACTAGATAAAAAATGTCTTTTTCTTTTGTTGAAATAATTCTAACAACAAATTTATCATCCATTTTTACAGATTTCCCCAACCGAAATGGCCGAGGATCGGCCTGATCCCAGCCCTCTTACCTCACGCAATTTCTATCGCCATTGTCAGCGCCGCCATTCATATTTCGTTGGGAAAGATGTTTGCGAAACGACTCAACTACAGTATTGAGCCATCGCAAGAGCTGTATGCCCTGGGATTTGTCTCGTCGATATCGTCGATATTCCCAGTCTTCCCAGCGGCGTGCTCGTTGAGCCGAACGGTGGTTAGTGCGGATGTGGGCGCTAAGACACAAGTGCGGTTGAGATCTATTTTTTTTGTTTCAGTCTGTCCGGAAAATAATGAGCACTCTGTCGCATCGAAAATCGCATCGCCGCTGAGAAGATGGAATGCGTCGCGGCAAAATCAAATTGCTTTTCACTTCATCGACGCGATTGGCGCAGCGACAATTTGCTCATTATTTTCCCGACAGAATAAAACAATTTTTTTTTTTCAATTGATTAAAGGTACTAATGAAAATTTATTTTCAGTTAAGCTCACTGTTTTCAAGCGCCATTTTGGTTGGGGTTATCCTCAAAGTTGGGGCTTATCTGGAGACATTACCAATGGTAAGTGAACATAGATTTTCGGAAAAGATTGTCATCAAAAAAAAAGCTTTTTTTCGGATTGGGACCGAAAGCGTTCGGATTTCCGAAGAGTCCCACTTCTTGAATTTTCAAAATGCGAGGTGACATTTTATACGATAGAAAAAATTTTTCAAATTTACAAAATTAAAAAGTGACGTATAATACGATGAAATTTCCACTCAATTTTTCAAAATGAACGGTGACATGTTATACGATGAAAATTTTACGCAATTTGTTTCAAGTGACTGTAAAAACTTGCATTTTAAAAATTGATGTTCATTTTTGAACCCGAAAATTTCAGTGCGTTCTCTCCGCCATTATCATTGTCGCCTTGACTGGGATGTTCAGAAAATTCTCCGAACTGGCCCGACTCTATAAATTGGCCAAGATCGACTTTTCCATCTGGCTGGTCAGTTTCATCGCCACCGTGTCCTGGAATGTGACTGTCGGGCTTGGAGTGTCCGTGGTATATGCTCTACTAACTATCGTGTTTCGAACACAATGGCCGAGATCTCATTATCTGGAGAATTTGAAAGGATCGAGCGACTTCAGAGACGGGGAGAGATACGAGAATATTACGCAGTTGGATGTGAGTTTTTGAGATTTTTTGACTTGAAAGGAAAGTGGGGTGGTTATCAGATTTTTTGCATGTTGCCGAGGACTGTTCCTTACATCAGTCTGTCGGGAAAATAATGTGGATTTGTCGTAGTGATATGACTGTTTATTCATGTTTTACTACCACAGAGCACTTTAATTTAGGGAAAATGCGATTTAAAGTTGTTAGACCGGTATTTTAGATGATAGAAAGTTAAAGCCATAAGTTAGAACACTTGGAACTGTACATAATTGAATAGTAGAGTAAGTAAAACGGAGAAAAATGCGGGGAAATAAGAGAAATTCGCGGAAAAATCAGTTTACTTGGTCGGTATCGCTTCCGCCGAGGGCTGAGTCCGCCAGACTGGACAAAGGTGATTCTCCAAGGCACATTCGCCTCCAAGCGATCACAAGAACGTCGGAAAGCGCGGGGAAAAAGTTGGTTAAAAGCGCGATATCGTAGTAGCCGGCTTTTTCGAAAAGCTCTCGAACTGGCGCTTTGGCGGCAGCGAAAAAGACGTGGACATGGTGGGATTGGAGCTCTTGATGGATCTGAAATTTTGTGTACATACTCCGTACAGGTTGCTTATCTATTTTTGTAAAACTTAGAGCAAATTTTTTAAGGGTGCCTAAAATTTTTTTTTGATTTTTCGAAAAAACGAAATTTTTTCACTGATCACCTCTTTCAATGCATTGGCTCCCATTATGTCCACAACAGTGAATCCGGAGCAATCGATGACCAAAAATTTCTCCGCTGAACCTCTAATAACAAACTTTTTCAGGGGATTTCCATCTTCCGCTTCGACGCTCCGCTTCTTTTCACCAACGTCGAGCACTTCAAAAGCACCGTAATCAAGGCTGCACTGCGGCTACCTCAGGCAGAACCGGCCGAGCATGTCTATGCGCAGAATACGGTCGACTCATTCCGACCGTTGGAGGTCGAAGTCGATGATTTGAAGCCGAAAACGAGAGGTTCGGCGGAGAAATTTTTGGTCATCGATTGCTCCGGATTCACTTTTGTCGACACAATGGGAGCTAATGCGTTGAAAGAGGTGAGAATTGAAAAAAATTTCGTTTCTTCGAAAAATCAAAAAATTTTTTAGGTACCCTTAAAAATTTCGATCGAAAATTTTACAAAAATAGATAAGCGACCTATACAGAGCATGTATAAAAAATTTCAGATCCATCAAGAGCTCCAATCCCACCATGTCCACGTCTTTTTCGCTGCCGCCAAAGCACCAGTTCGAGAGCTTTTCGAAAAAGCCGGCTACTACAATATCGTACCCAAAACCAACTTTTTCCCCGCCATTTCCGACGCTGTTGTGATCGCTCGGAGGCGAATGTGCGTTGGAGAATCGCCTTTGTCCAGTCTGGCGGACTCAGCCCTCGGCGGAAGCGATACGGGCCAAGTAAACTGAATTTTTCGCGAATTTCTCTTATTTTCCCGCATTTTTCTCCGTTTTACTTATTCAAATATTCAATTATGTACAGTTCCAAGTGTTCTAATTTATGGCTTTAACTTTCTATCATCTAAAATACCGGTCTAACAACTTTAAATCGCATTTTCCCTAAATTAAAGTGCTCTGTGGTAGGATAACATGAATAAACGGTCATATCACTTGTTATTAGTTCAAATAAAGTTCGTTAAACTCGAGACAACCTCCGTAGAAAGGATTTGAGACTTCTTTGATCAGCAATTTCCGACGCAATCATCGTAAATCAGCGAAAACGTCGGGAAAGAGAAGACTTGACCCAAATGGGAGAAAGACTTGACGCGTTTTTCCTTTTTTTTCTTTTGGCCACAAAACTCACGTTCGCTCTTGGATGGGCATGTATAACGTGTTGTAAACGGCTCGATGCAGTTTACTTTTTCACATTTTTTACGGCGCGTCGTTTTTTCCCACTTTTTTGGACTTTTTATTATTGTCACTTGGGAATGAATGGAGAAGATGAAGAGAGCCTTCATGGGCAATAGCTGCCGCCCGTGAATTGTATTGCAATTGTTTCAGAGGTCCTTTTTTTGCGTCTTGGAGGACTAAGGGCCAATATTAGCCTTGAAATCTTTTTAATTTTTGAGTTTCTGGGGATTGCGTATATTGTACTAGGTAAATGCCTCGTAAAAGTCTGATTTGCGAGTATTTTTAGTAATTCAATCTTATAAAGTGCTTCTTGGACGTCTTCGGCCAATATTGGATTATAAGCCCTTTGGATTTGTGTTTTCTAGAGATTTTGTTATATTATACTAGGCATTTTTCATCAAGACCCCTAATTTTTGTTAATTACTTGAAAACTGAAAGTGAAAGAGTGCTTTTGAAGCATGTGGATCAAAGTTAGCCCAAAATTGCTTCAGATTTCTAGGATTTATTGGTTTTCATATATTATACTAGATCTTTGCTGTATAAAAACTAAAATTTTCGACATTTTTTGGATATTTCAATCTGATTATCCGCTCTAAGATGACATCCTCGGTCTGTTTATTGGATTTTCTGCCAAAAGAAACTTCTCTTTGCCTCAGGGCCACACGTTTTCCTTGGACATTTTGTTTCAAAACGCTCCGTTTACCTTTCGCTTTTTCTCGAACAATCGTTTCCGGACTTTGGCCCTGAGGAAAACAGTTCACGAACGGTTGTTTTTTGCGAAATTCCCGCCCTTTCATTCGGAGTTAGAGAGCGAAAAAAACGGAATTATCCCTGTTTTGCGGGCAGCCGAAATGCGAGATAGCAGAGGCTTTTGGCGCGCATCGAAGAGCCCAAAACCCACGAGGAGATGGTGAGAGATGGGCCGAGGTTGTTTACTTCGAAACTCGAAAACATCCCGGGGGTTTGCGTTAGTTTCTTTTCCAAATTTTAGTTGACCAACTAAAGCAATATCGAACCTGTTGAACAATGGTTATCATTGATCCGTATTTCAAAGATTCTTCCTCAGGTATCCAGATTTACAGCTTTCCTCATCTTCCTCTTGCAATTTGCTTTTGATTGGAATAGAATTTTCAATTTTTTCATGCCTGTTCTTTGACCTATCTAGTGTAATATTTTCAGATCTTCCCGGACAACAGACGGGCCCAATTCCGCAAGTAGATATCGTGATGCCATACTACTGGACCACTGACGACACTCGCCGCGCCATTTTGGCCTCGATTATCCCTATCGGTGCTGGAGTTGCGGGCGCTGCCTTCATCGCTCGTGATAAGCAAATTAACGATGTTATCAACGTAAGATTTACAATTCTCTTGTCAGTTTTTAGGTTCACCAATGTGAGGATTCGCTGAGGATGGGAGAAAAGTGTTAAAACGGGTTTATGGGGTCAAATTTTTGGTTCGATTACATGGTTTCCTTCAGCTCATCTAAAATAAGGTCGGAAAAGTTGAGGGTGGTTGTATAATGTGGTCATTTTGGTATTTCTCGTATCGTCAAGGCATCTCTGAGCTTTCAAATATTCCAGGCTAACGTTTTTTTAATCCCACAAGCCATAACATGCAAAACGACCCTGACTACGAATAATTTTTTACAAATTTTATCGTCTTCCAAAGTGTTATTGGGTTCTTGTGAAATCAAGAGCTTATTGACAATCTTTGAGCATCCAAATCTTTTAGTTCCGAGAAATGTTGACGGTCTTTGATCACCCCAACCTCTCTTGTTGACATGTAAAATAATATCGAAATCAAAGCTAAACACTTTTTTGCAGAGCAGCCGCAAACCCCATTGGGCGATCAAATGTAAAGCCACCCATTCTGCCATCGACATCCTCACTGCCGCCCCACTCGGCTATGCCTCCTATCTGGTGTACAAGAATGGCGGAGGCTTCGATTACACCGATACCACCGTTGCTCTGACTCTGTATGGAGCGAATATTGGGCTCGCCTTGACTAACATCCCATTGTTGAAGAGATCCAACTTCCAATGCGTAAGTTGTATTCTTTTTTGAGTTGAACTTTTAGGTTGGTGAACGAAGTTTTTTGAGATTTTCGAGCGACTTGACCTTATTTTAGTTGCAGATTCGAATTTTTTGTCGTAAAAAGGTTGTTTTTAGCTCTTCTACAACGGCCTATTGGTTAGCGGAACTGCTGCCGCTACTGCCTACGCTTTCTACAAGATCGACAAGCACGCCGGCCTCTGGACCCTCCCCTACGCCTTGTGGACCGTCTACTACGCTGCTCTCGGCTACGCCACCTACAAACTGAACAGCCCCAACAAAGACGCCTAAGCCATCCGTACCCTCTTTAATTTCCATTTACCTATGAATTAGTTCAATCTCGAAATAAATAATCCGTGTGGAATTGAGAATTTTATATAAATGATGTTGTAGTAGTTGGAAAATCGTTTTTAAGTTTCAAAAAGCCACACATGAGAGAACAGACGAAAGGAAGTGACAGTGAGAAGAATGCAGCACGACATACCCAGAAATACAGCTGAACGATTAAAAATCTTTTATTTTAGGTACAAATCCGCTGAAAACTCCCCTAAAGTAACAAGTTTCGAAAATTTTTGCCAATTATTAGCATTAAACCTGGTTTATAAATGCATAGACTGTTAGAGTACCATCTCTACTAATTCGAACATCTGAAACACCTAATCTCCGCAATTTGTCTCATCCACAGTGCGGCGCAGCCTGCGTCCTGACTAAAATTGTCGAAACATTTTTTGAAAGGTTTTCCGAAAGAATCTTGAATTCTGTCATAAGACAACTCATTTCTGATGCGTTACGATGTAAAATGAAGAAAAATGAGGATAACCTCGAGAGACAGAGCTATCGCTTATTGTTTTAGGCATCAGTGTTGCTCAAAAAAAAATTTTTTTTTGATTTTTTAGGGATGTTTTAGCTAATGTTATATCTAATTTTGCGCAATTTAGCTGACTGCGGTAGTTTGCTTTAGATTTCTTTGAGATTGGCGTCCATTTAGATATCTTTTTGGTCTGAATTTGTAAAACCTACTTTTTCGAATATAAAACCATCGAAAAATATTTTAGAAAGTTTATTAATAACAAATTTCACTAATTTACAATATTATTATGGCAAATACAGGAGTATCGTCGAAGAAAAGACACTGAAAAATAAGATGCAGTAACCGGAAAACCGAAATTCGAAAATTAGGTAACAAAAATCTCTTGAATGCCTAAAACAGGAAAGAATGACCGGGATTGGTGAAATATGGTTGGGTCTACAGCAAAATTCGGGTTCTGGGTGTTGTAGTAAGTAGCCTTGGATAGATGGAGTTGGACTGGTAAATGTGTTGAGGCTGTTTCTCAGCGGACTCGTTAGCAACAGTCGTCGGTTGTTGATAATAGTCGTTGGATGGTGCAGATGCACGAAAAATTCTCCGAATAGATGTAGAAATAGGAGATGAAGTCCAACATGGGCTGTAGTAGTCGGTAGATCAAATTCTTTAGGCTTGTAGAGCCCATTTTCCCTCAAAAATTGAATGTAGACCCATAAGAGACAACAAGAAGACTGTGTACATTAAAGTAAATATGTAACAATGAAAGGCAAATTTTTGTTTTGTTCTTAGAATGGTGGAGGTCCATTGATAAACTGTTGATGTAGTTCGAAGAGCTTGTGAAGGTTTTCACACGACTCTTCTTTGGTCAAATCCGGTATCATGCAGGCAGCGGCAAGTAGTAGGCCAAGCATCACCTGAAATTTAGGAATCTTAGAGCGAAGTAATATTGATAAAATATCAATGTAATATCGAAAACTTGACAAAAGGTCAATGAGAAAGCCGTTCCGCTAATTTGGCGTGAAGTTTAATGAAAAGTTGTTTTTTGCCTGATATTTTCAGCTTTATTTTTATTTTTGTTAACATACCTGATATGGCAACGCTGCAAACAGCACTCGTCGCCATCTGTTCCTTTGTCGGTCCGGTACGTCGACTTGTTGAGCAGCGGGATCGATTTCAGGTTCGGGCGAGGTCGCCGGCGATGGGGCTAGCGCCAAATCGACGTCATCCATTTCCTGCGCGCTCAGTTTGTGCTTCGGCTTGGGAATCGAGGGACCAGCACGGTCGTTGGGGTCATGTTCGTGCTCGTCCGAGCTCACATCCAGATGTTGGAGACCGTAGTCGCGCAGCACATCCCTGGGTCGTCGGTCCGGGAATGCCATTGCGAGAAGTTCGGATGCGGCTTCCAGGTTTAGCGGGGGCTCTTCCTTGTCTTTTCCTTCGCGTTTAAGCTGTTCAAGTCGTTCATTGACTCGTTGACTAATATCGTTCAATTCTTGAGTGGCATCACCGATTACCGGTATGTCCGATCGAACGTATTGGCGAGATTTCAGGGCGCGTTGGTGGTTAAAATGCACCTCATCAATTTGGTCTTGCACAATGGGGAGCACTCTCGTTTTGAGATCTCGGAGTTCGGTGTACGAGAGTCGTTCCACTTTTTCGTGAATTTCGTGTAAATCATCAATAATGTCTGTCATTTGATCCAGAAGACGGTCTTCGTCGTTTTTCTCGTGTTGAAGAGCCTGGATCAGGTTGTCGTAGTCGCATTCGATCTCCTCATATTCAGCTTCTAGGAACCTAACTTCGGAGTGGGGTAGGTCTTGATGTTCGAATTGCAGTGCAACCGTGTTGAGTTCATCGATCTTTTCATGGATCTCTTCGAGGTTGTCCTTTGATGTCTGAAGTAGTGCATATTAGTTATGTCCGGTAAAATAATTTATTTACAGATTGTTTCCAGAAAAAAACTATTGCCTTACCTTTAATATGGATATTTCGTCGTCAACTTCAGAAACATCGCTTAAACCATTTGACTTCCGGGTATCGTACGGCCTGCGGGCTTGATCGAACAAAGCTCCGATTCCGGACTTCAGTTTTCCGAATTCTACCCAGATAATCCATTTGGCATCCAAAAGATCACGAATTTCCGCGGCGGTAGTTATAATTGATCTTAACTTAGCGACATGCGCTTCAGTTGGGCTGCAGTCCTCAATGAAGGCTTCTGCTTCCCTGATAAGGACACGAATCTTGTCAGCCTGCTCATTAAAAGCATCTGGGTGTGCAGATGCATCGATTAGCATTTGTTGTCCTTCGGTAATTGCTAACGCTAATCCGGAATTCAGGGTGTTTACGCGGTTCTCCTCGAGCTGGCGCAGCTCAGCTTCCTTGCCTTCAATTTCTTCGCTCAGAGCAAACTGTAGATTTTCTGCTCTTTGAACAATCTTCGACAAGGCGGGGTCGGCAATGTTCGTCACGCTGTCAAGGCCGGCCAAAAGTTCTTTAGCTTTATGTAACGCGTCTCTGCCATTGATAATAGTTCTTAGCTTTAAGTCAGAAGTCTCCAGCGACTGCGAGATGCTTCTCAACAGCTCCTCAATACTTGCTTTAATCCGGTTGATCTTTGTGTTCCATTCTTCAAACGCTTTTTTCTTGTCGTCTTCCAATTTCTTGGCAGCATTCTTCTGTTCAGCGTCCAAGGTCTTCTTGAGCTCTTCAACCCGATCTTTGAGTTGTTGAACATTGACGCTGTCGGAAGGACGGATCAGCTTCTCTCCGGGTTCATTGAACTGTTGTTGAACAAGTTCAATTTCTTCAACCAAGGGAGCAATGCTTTGATCGATGTTCTCGAGCTGTTGTTTCTTGTCAACTGGATCAGAATCCTGGTGAACCTTCAAGGCGGCATCACTGAGCTCGTTGAGTCGTTTGAGGAGCTGGTCGTGCTTGTCGGCCAGTTCCTTCTGTCGCTTCAGCTCGGCGTTGAGTTTGTTCTCCAAATCAGCCACGCGTTTCTCTTCGTTGTCGAGTTTGGCTTGTTCTTCGGCCAACTTTTGGAGTTCTCGATCTCTGATTTCAGCTGGTAGGTCTTCCGCTCGGGTCAGCCAGTCGTAGGCTTGTTGGAGGCGATCACGAAGTCCGGCAAGGCGATCCTTGAAGTTTGAGACTCCATCAGCATCATTCTGAGCCGATTGAACTGATTGAGGCTCAATGTTCTCATCGGCATAACGCCCGAGAAGGTTGGTGACTTCGGCGTTGGTGTCGAGCAGAACTTGGTCGATGTCAGATTTTCGTTGCAACCATTCGTTTTGGATACGTTGTTGTTCCTCTTCGTGAGCCAGTTTAGCCAACGCTTTGTCGGCCTTGTCAGCGAGATCGTTGAGTTTGGCAACCAATTGTTCTGGTGTTGAATCGTCAGGCAGATTGGCACGTTCGACCACTTGTCTGGTGTTTCTTGCGGCTTGGTGTTGTTGAACAAGGTCATCAAGCTGCTTCTTCAGAGCAGGAACAGCTTCTTCCTTGACGTTAGCGACGCCGTTTCGGTCGAGTTTGGGCAGATCTTCTGAGATACGGTCGAATTCGTTGATGAGTTCCTTGGATCTCTCCAAAAGGTTGTTCTCATGGGTAGTCTCGTCGCGAATGGCATTCAGTTGGTCACGGATGTCATCTTCCAACTCCTGGAGGTCGGCGTTAACAAATCTGACTTCGCTTTCGGCTACAGCCAGTGGTTGTAATTGCTGACCGAGTTGGTCCAACTTGTCGGCCTGCTTTCGGAGTGGCACCAAGGCTTTCTGTGCTTTCTGAAAAGATTTGGTTAGTATTTTGCTTGGACTTGCCTCAAGGGGTTTGATATCCTTCTCAGCAGACTTCGGAGAGCGCAAGTTTCTTCCAGAGATGTCGTTGCAAGTCTGTCGAGGCTTGTCAAGTCCATCGAAGATCTCATCACGGAGTTTCTTGAACTTGAGCCACTGATTCCACTTGTCATCGGTGCTCTTTTTGGTCTCCTTGGCAACATCGATGATTTGTCCGAGTTTGTCGACGTGTTCTGGAACTGGAGCTTTGTCTCCAACTTCCTTGGCAACCTTCTCGGCTTCCTCGATCTTGCTCAACAATAGAGCGGTGATCTCGTTGAGGTTGTCGGGGTTGGACTCGGGATTAACCAGAAGGTTTTGGGCTTCAGCAATCAACTTGTTCAGATCCTCATGTGGCTTGGCCAGGGCAGAGTCAATGCGATCGTCGACCGATTGACGGTTGGCTTCGAACAACTCTCCCAATTTGGCCAACTGATCGGCAGTTTTGGCACGGAGGTTTGAGGTTTCCTCATCTTCTGGTTCGAGGTCTTCGTAGATCTTGGACAAATCATTGATACGCGGCTTGGCTGAGTCGAGGATTTCAACGGCCTTCTTGAGTTGTTCAACGTTTGCGTTAGGGTCGGCCAAAGTGTCTTCGGCGCTTCTAAGGTCATCAGAGAGCTTGGCTCGGAGTTGCTCGATTTCTT